ACAGCTATACGATTAAATAACATGTTAAAAATATTTAAGTAATACGGGCAAATAAAACAACAGAGCTTTAAGATCGCTATAATTGAGTTTTATTGCTTACTGGCCTGATATACAGATTTACGAAGTCATTACGTCAGAACATATACACATTACAGTTCTGTAAATAATATATATCCAGATGAATACATGTATTCTAAAATACTTGAAGAAACCTATATTAAATAGGCGTACATTCATTAATGTGTTGTCCATATATAAAGAGGCTAGTTCCCTATGAGTCTATGTAGTGGTTTTTATTTAATTTAACCATGCATAGCGTTTTGAGTCTTATTGAAATCGGGTGTTAGGAAAGCGTCTTGCCTCTCTTATGCAAGGGAACTAACCTTAGCCGTCACTCTCACATTCCGTGGGCTGTTGAAGAAAGCTTTATGTAATCGCTAGGTCACGTGGTCTCAGGACCAGAAGCCTTTATTCCGTTACTGATGCTACACTGTTTACTTTGTCAGAGCTATGATACCCGAGTATCCATTTACATGAGACATTTCTACTACAGATCAAATAAATTCGTGGTTTCACATGTACACTCTCCAACCTAAAAATTCTGTGTATCAATCTAGTGAGCTTACGTAACTCAGGTTTATTGAACTCAGAATACAAAATATTTTTTAAAAGGTGTAAATTCTATCGAGAAGTATTTACCCACATAACAGCCCTTGCTGTCCATTTGTGAAGCGTTATAAAATACAAAAGTATATTAAAAAACAAAAGTATATAAAATACAAAAAATGTTATGTGACGTGGTGGCTAAGTATAGAGCATATCGACATAGGCCGGTTCGGAATCCAGTAGTCATAGTAAATTTTTTTTTTTTACAGTCAAATCCCCATCTCAGCAACATTTTTGTGTTTTAGTTAGCTTGTTAGTTACTTCAAATTTATTATAAAACTTGATTTATTTTTTGCTTGCTTGTATTATTATTTGTTTACTACAAGTTAATATATATAAAGGGTTCAAGATAATTCGATTAAGCCTTAATCTAAACTGGTGCTACAGTTTTACACGTTTGGGTCAAGCTAATAATATAATAGGCTGATAAGTCAGATGACCATTGGTCTTTGCGCTGAACTAACTCACAGAATGTGGGGAGGGGTAGTAAGACTGCAGGAGCTAAAGCCTATCGTAGGCAAGATGACGGCTTCATGCTTTTACCGTCACAATATATATTGAAAGATATCAAAGATATATTTTTATACGGGACAATCTGAAATCAAGCAATGAGTACAGTATTGATAATCGATAGAGAACATAGACTAACATAGACGCGCTGAGGGCAACAGTAAAATATTAATGAAGAACATGATTCACTGAATGAAAAATTACAGTTGGGAGAAGATTTAAGATTGTGATAAACCGTGACGCAGCCCGAATAAGGTATCAACGGTAATAATACAAGCTGATTTGCTATATCAAAGTAGCATTACAATTTGTAAATCGGTAAAAATTATGTTACTAGTTGTAATAATTGTAAACCCCAATTCATCAGTTATAAACGAAATGGAAATCAAGCTAAGCATGGATCGGCTATACAATATTCACATGTCAAAAAGCGTGCATTTTTCTCGCTTTTTAAAATCTTGTTATTGATTAAAATGTAACTCGGGTATTGTTTTGCTCCTAAGTATATGCTTTTGTTTGTGTACAATTTAATGTGCTTGCGAGGTTCTCTCTTCTCTTCAATAAAGCCTTGCAATATTAATTCTAGTGTTTGCGGCTCATAATTTATTAAAACACAGATGTATGTGAATGTGGTTTCGGGTTTAATGTTACAATAAAAACTGCGTGAAGTCTAGAGCTTTGTTACAATACGTTATTGAATTACACGGAAAACAATCGCAATAATAAGATTATTGCCAAGACAGTGTTGAACAAACAACCTAGAAGAAGCTTTAGCTTGGCTCAATCAAACTAACATGGCCTATGAAGAACTAGTCTCACATATAGTATTTTCATAATCGCTAAATTAATCGCATTAGTGATCCTTTCCTGGACTTCTTCATTAGTTATGTGATCTTGTATGAAATCCCTAGGAATCTTCCAAGGCGTCAGTCGTGATCAGAGGCGTATCCAGGTTTTCGTTGTAGGGGGAGCGAAAAGAGCAAAAAAGGCGCCGAATTTTTAACACGTTCTATATACGTGTATTTTATATATATATATATATATATATATATATATATATATATATATATATATATATATATATATATATATATATATATATATATATATATATATATATATATATATATATATATATAATTACTAGCTGTATGTCATTACTTCGCTATGATGTAAAATAAATTGAAAGTAGCACTCTGAAGAATTAAGAAAAAACACACAGTGTAGGCCGACAAAACAAAAATTGTATCAATCTAAACAAAAACAAAATGTACACACACTACAACCAAAAACAATGAACGTAACACAATCTGTTTTGTAATTCTTGAAAAAAAAATTCTACACATTTAATTATAAATGTCAAAACAGATAAATAATTACTTTAGAATATAATGAAATTGTTTAACACTGTTCGTGTTTACAAAATGATTTTGTCTATAATCAGAATTAAATATATCGTCATCATAAATGCTTAAGTACAGTGGTGTAGCGACCCTTCCCGGCCCCCGGGGACAAACTTATCGATTTGCACCCCCCCCCCCTCGAGATTTCAATTTGCACCCCCCCCCCTCAAACTTTTGATTTGCACCCTTCCTCGAGATTTTGATTCGCATCCCCCCCCCCTCAAACTTTCGATTTGCACCCCCCCCCCCCCCTCGAGATTTTGATTAGCACCCCCCCCCTCAAACTTTCAATTTGCACCCCCCTAAACCTTTCAATTTATTTTTCCAACCCATTTTGGCGCCCAATAAGCTCGGCGCCCGGAGACATATGTCCCCCCCCCCCCCTCGCTACGCTACTGCTTAAGTATTACAGCATAATGAAAGTTTTTTAAATCAGAGTTGGTATAAAACCACGCTTTTCTATTTAATAGAAAGCAGTCGGAATAACAGCCTACATTTAACTAAATATCTGTCTTTTAGTTCAGATCATATGTTTTTAATTAACTACTGCTTCTTTGTGTTCTTTAAAGATCATTTTTTAATATAGTGATAGGTAAGGGTTAGATCACTGTATTGATCACACACCCTTTTACTGGTAATTGCAAAAACAATAGTCACATATTTTTACGTTTAAAAAGCTAATTTTCTGGCGGCATGGTACTTTGGTACATCATTACGCGTTTTCCCAAAAGTACTTTAGAGATCAGTTCGGGGTGGGTTGGGGGTGGGGGGGAGGGTTTAACTTCATTCACTACTGTGCGGTCACTTTAGGTCAATTATCCAAACCAGTGTATACCTAGGTGTGACATTAATGTCGCTCTACACAATTGTGGTGGTGAGGTGGGGGGGGGGAGATAACCAACTCAGAGTGAACATAGCGTCAGTTTTTTAGATGACTGTTCTAAACATACATATAAATTACACATGTATACTGATTCGGAAATAGATTTTAAAAAGTAGCAGTGGTATTATGACAATATTTTTTACAGAGGGGTCCATGGGGGAGGGGGTTGTAACTGTTTCATATAATTTATAATCGTAATCACTATCGCCCAAACTGTCATAATACTACTACTTCATCGTGATGACGTTGTTGACCTGTCAAAATTTCCCCACCGCTACGCAGTTCGCCTATAAGTAAATTTAAATAGAGGTGCCACATCAGTTGTATTTGTTTCTGTATTGTAATTTAAAAAAAAATTAATAACACTGTTCAAACTGTATATATAAAGTAATTATGTGTGAAGTTTTATGTATAACATTTTCTAATTCAATTATTCGTAAGCAAATACATTATACAGTTGCCTTAAACTTAACACCCCTCTTGCCAAGTGGTACTACCCGTAGAGGTTTTTTAAACAATGCAATGCATCGTAATGGTTATTTTTAGAATGGAAAACTGATGCAGCTGTTAATACGTGTTGTAAACGTAGACACTACTAGACTTGTACAATAATGCTTAATTGCCTCATGGAAAGAAATCTTGTGATTTACATGTGCCGACCAAAACTATTTTTTAACAAATATCATTGTTAAAACTTTGAGTTTAAAAAGTTTCCAAAAAGGCGCCACTTTGCTGAAAATGGCCAGAGGGGGAGCGGCCGCTCCCCCTGCTCCCCCCCTGCGTACGCTACTGGTCGTGATCTTTTCTAGCTAGATATTGAAAAAGATGGCAGAGAGCAAGCAGCTATGTCTAACGACTTTCGTTGTTCTAGACCATTCGTACTTTAGTTTATTAGAATTAAAGAGGTAGAGTAGTGATCTGAATAGCACGATAAAAACAGTGGCGTCAAAAGTCAGGGGTGGGGAGTGCGGTCCGCAGCGGATGACTACAGAGTGAAAAATTGTAAATTATACTGAAAAGTTAAACTTTTACCCAGTTAATTTTTTTTTTAAATTTTATTAGGGGCAGACGGACGACACCAAACCGAAAATGTAAAATTGTTGCAGGGATGGGGTAATAGTGAGGTAGAACACAGCTCGACGACTGCCCAGATTATAGGGGCGTCGCTGGGCGCTAATGGGAGCCACCAAGTACACCACTGCAGGCGCCGGGTTAGGCACCAGGTCCGTTTTAAATATCGAACGTGGTGTGTCAACGTGTCACTATTGTTCAGTGCTATTTAAAATGAATGTAAGCGCCACAGTGCTCACTGGTGAGCCAGGGTTGCTCAGGGTCATCAAATCTTTGAACGATTATTGTAGTCCATCTTATCCATAGTGTACAGCACTCTTGAAAACGCCATAGTGCTTTAACTTCTTTATTTCACGTGTAATGTCAGTCTCTTTTTTCTGATATTAATTAATCAAAATTATTAATTTAAAGAGCAAACAATAATCTATGCATGTATTTTGTATCATTTTATTCAAACAATATTTTGTTTAAATTAAAATATATATGTTACATAGGTAGGCCTATATATATATTATAAATGTATATAAACATTATAATTATAAGATTTATTCTGATCATGCAATACAAAACAAACAATAAATCACAGATTTTATCAGAAATAGACTCAGTCTAGATGTTTGTATAATAAATAAAATATTTGTGATATTTGGGTGAATAAAATCATAAATTTAAATGGATGCTCTCTTTAACATAACATCCAAATTTTTTATTGGCACATCTTGGTTTAAAAATATATATATTAAGGTCTGCCTTATTCCTACCCATATAACCTAGTGTTGAATCTGTTTACACAAATTCTAAGAAAACAATTTGGGATCTAATTTACACGGGACACACAGTTTAAATGGTTTTTTGTAGTAGACAACAATATGTGTGTGCTTAATTAATCAAGCTGAGGTTGATGTGCCCATGATACTTCCTTTATCTCAGTTCAACAGCAGACCCAAATACTGAGTCGTCCCAGCTCTAATGGGTACCTTGCTCAATTTAAGTATAAATACATGTAGTTGGGAATTATTTTGACTACATAATATTGTGATTAAACAAAGGACAGTGAAATAGATGAACTCTTCTATATAATTCAGCTCCCCTATAATTGGTATGGACTGAAAGACTACTAAAATTTTAATATTATAAAATAAGTCAGCTGTTGTTTATATTATTAATGGTACATTAATAAATTAATTTTAGTGCTTAATCCTGATTATAAATATTTAACCAACAGCCATAAATAAAAACGGCTGTGCAATCAATTATAGACAAAAAATATTATTGTAATTAATTGCCATTAAACAACAAAAAAATTATACTGCTAACTGAATATACTCTGATTATGATATGGTAGTAAAATTCTCAAAATAAAAATATCACATTTGAGAAAATTAAAATATTTACGCCAGCCTTTCTCCGTTTGACAATAGTCTTTTTTCTTGAAATTTCATTATCCAGTCCATAATTTTCTCAGGCAAAAGGTACAAAGGAACAAATATAAACTTTGCATCAAAACCAACTAAATACCTACATCTAGGGTACTTTGAGGTTATGGCATGTATATACGCATCAACAACTTTGTACGTATCAGGAGAAGAGTTTGCAACCACGCCTTTAATAATTTTACAACAATCTTCAACATAGGTAGCCCCGTAGGCCTGTCTCACTTCCTCTGGAGCTTTCTCATGGCTGTCTTTAATGGAAGCAAAGAACCTGCTCTCGTCCAGTATTGTGGTTCTAAAAAACCCTGGCTCTATAGCTATCACATCAACCCCAAAATCCGACACCTCTCGTCTAATAACATCAGTGAACGCCTCCATCCCAAACTTGGAGACACTATAAGGCGCACTCACAGCTGGACATCTGCCCATAACACTGACCATGTTGACCAAACGTCCTTTAGATTGACGCAGCAGTGGAAGGAAGGTCTGGGCAACTTCTATGGGCCCAAAGAGGTTGACTTCACAAGTGTTGATGACTTCCTTCCTTGTGAACATCTCCACCACTGCTGTTGGTCCTGCTATACCAGCATTGTTGACCACTGCCCACAGAGCTGAAAAAGTGAAGTAAATACTTGAGAAGTTCATTTAAGAAATACATAAGAAATACTCTGCTATGTGTTACAAATAAAATTGATGGAAAAAAGTAATTAAAATGTAAATACTATAATGCGATATTGAGCAAAAAGTATTGAAACAAAAAGGATTAATGATTGATGTGGTGTACCAAACCTAATTTTCTAGACTGAATAAAACATAATAATACTTTGACTTCAAGATAGATTTTAAAAATTAAATAATGTACATCTCTTCTTATTAAAATAAATTAAAATTATTTTATTGTGCTGAATGTTTGCACACACTTTTTCTCTATGACTACTAAGTATCGATGTAAAAACATACCATAGTAAAAATTAAAACATAACATTCATTATCAACACAACTAAACTATCAAATGATTTTTATTAAACACTTTTATTTCTTAAAATGTGTGTGGAGTGGGGAGGAGTTATTAAAACTCCTGAAAGTTGCATTTACATTTATTAATTATCTAAACAGGTGTTTCTTTATACACTACAGTACACTGTAAAATTGATTGCCATTTTGATTTTGGTAGTGAGGACATTTTCAATAAAATGTTTCATAAGAATTTGAACTTGTACTAACACAAATAGAATTGGTTTATTTTTATAGTTTTGGGAATTCACAATTTTAGGAAACAATATTTGGCTGATCTAGTCAGTCAATTGCTGCTTTTTCAATAAACCTAATTTGTATGGATGATTAAAGTGAGTGATAAAAGATGGGTCTACAATTCATGTCATCACACTGTCAGGGGCTATAGGAAATTGGTTGTATTGCTTCAGGGGTAAGGCGTTGTCATATAGGCAGCACAATATACAAATGACATTAAAAAAAAATTATACCTGATAAAAATCATAAAATATTTTGGAATTAAGGTGATTACTTTGAGGTATGTGGATTTCAATAACCTTTTTTGTTAAATTTTATTTATTTAAATCCATTTTCCTGTTAAAAGTGACTACTTAATAAAAGTAAATGCAAAAAAAAAAGTTTGTTAATTTTGATTCAAAATCTCATAAACTTGTCATATATGAAATAGACATTTAAGATATCACATTCTGAATGATATAGTGTTTCATAACTAATAGATAAGAAGCAATATTTCCATAGCTAAATATATTTCTTTATTACAAGAGCTCACCATTATTACTGGGAAGTTTAAATTTGACTGTATTGTAAGCAGATTCAATACTGTCACTTTTAGTTACATCCACTTTAAGTGCAAACAGGTTGTTGGAACACGAGCTGGATAAGAACTGGCATCCATCATCAGTCAGACATCCAGCAAATACATGGAACCCAAGCTTATCCAATCGTCTGCAAAATAAAAATTAATAAAATCATAAACAATTGCTTAGTATAATAATTATTTGAAATTTTAATAAATTAGCTAAGACAGCAACTACTTTTGATATGGAGACTGGAACAATGCAGTATTATCTATTTTATCGACTTATTGTTATCATTCAATGTTACATATTTTAATTTCACAACTAAAACAAAGTTTATAATGAAAGACTGTTGTAGAAATCGACATGCATATTATAGAAGAAAAAATAATAAACTAATTAACACCAAGTCAAACTTAGTAAGAAAATAAAAATGCTTAAATATGATGAAAAATGTATTAAATACTGAAAAGCATTGGGATTTTCATTACACTTTATACACCCATATAATTAAGTTTTTAGATACTAGTGCTAATTCTAAAACTTAGACAAGCCTCAAACATTTTTCTGATGCATAAATATGTTGAAAGTTGATCAATTGGAACCACTTTTCTATCTCAGCAAAGTAGGTTTTGAGTGATTAGTTACTAATGACCAAATTTGAATCTTACTTTAGTGAGCTTCAGTAATTTTTTTTTTTTAAACTGGAGAAGGTCATTTAGTGAATTTAATTTAGTGGTGAAAAATTAATAGATTTTATAAATGCAACACTACATAATAACCATCTTTAATTTGTACAGAATAGTTTCTAGATCTATATAAAATAAAAAAAATTATAAAAACAATTCAATATTTCCTCAATTTCTTTCACTATTTAGTAGTATTTAATTACAAATGGTTACATATAGGCCTACTTAAATACTTGTTCATCTTTGCTTCTATTTTTCTCACTATGTTACACGAAAAATTATAATTTAAATTAGAGGAGGTGGAAAAGGAAATAAAGATACAGCTATGATATTTAATTCACTGTTCTTCACTATACCTTTTAAAAATCCATCTTTATTAAAAGGGCAACAACTATATTTTACTTGGGATCATTATCAAACAGTTATTGCCCCTACAAAAAAAATAATTATAGTATGATATACTAAAAATTGAGTTAAATACACTTACATGGCTAAATCCTTCCCAAAGCCACTGTCACAGCCAGTGATGAAAACATATTTCTCTGAGAACTGACCCACTTTAAACAACCTCAACACCCAGTCCAGGAAATAATAGGAAATCACCACGAAAGCTATGCCACTAAATAGGCAACTGCATAGGCACATCATTTTCCCTCAGCTAGCCAGATATTTCTGAAAGTTCAAATAAGAAGCCAATGGAATAGAGATAATATAATATTTTTAAAGAAAAAAACCCCACATTTTATCAATACTTAAACATGTATTAGTTTTAATAAAAATCATTACATCTATTTTATTTAACATCGTTCGTTCAATAGTTGTAGATATACCTTAGCAGTCTAATTAATTAGTAATTATAAGTGTTTGTAGAATTGTAAATCTATTATTATATTTTCTAGAATAGATATAAATTATGATTAATTATCTGATAATGGGAAAAAAAATAACCTTTGAGTCTTGACCTGGAATCTAATAAAGTAATAACTGAATCAGCAGCATCTAAATTAAAAATAAAACACCATTAGGCCTAACCTATTAAATTATAACTGCATACTAAAAGAAACGTGGCCTACTTAGTGGCTAGTTAGTAGTAGATCTAGATTCTAGATCTAGTTAATACTAGTTATGCTTACTGTGACAGTTACACACTGACTTAGTTTGTTCTGTCAATGAAATATTTAATATTAGTAAATAAAGTTCTTTAGTAGTTCTTAGTACTAGTAACTTACTTACTTAGTAGTGTAGTTACTTACTACTAACGTCTTCTTAGTTCATGAAAACACAAATCTGCGAATAATAGTCCTCTTACTTGCACATTAAGTGAGTGTGATACTTATATTAGACTGTAGGCTCGCGTATTTAATAATTTGTAATTGTATCTAGTACTATCTAGATTCGAGATCTAACCATAGCCTAATATTACAACATTCTATCAGTCCAGTTTCTTCGAACTACTGTTTCTGTTAGATCTAGATAGTACTGTTGGCATGTTACATTTATTATCACAAACTGAACTTAGACTTTTAACCTTTGACCTTAACCTCATTTTCGCCTAGAATTTTGTCTTATAGTATAGGCCTACGGCTTATAATTATATGTATAGACTGCCTTGGAACTAGATTATCTAAATCTAGGTAGTTTCTAGTGCCTCCTAGTTCTATAATCCAAATGTGGCCTACTATTTAAAAATTAAACAAGATATCTTTAATTTTATTCAACTGTTGTGCGCTTCATGCCTGCATAGATCTACGTACCAGCAGTAAAACTAGGCCATACTTCCTGTCAACACTCTTGCTTCAGTAAACACACGGTGTTAACTGCACTTTAACATAAGAGAGTTTGTCGCCTCAATATTCATCAGTAGAAAGAATGTTTAAAAACGTAATCCAAAACAACACAGTTAGGCCTAGATATCTATTTTGTTTATAAGATTGGTGACCCATACACACAGCTGATCGGTTATCAAAATATTTTTTTGTTTAGCCTGACGTGTGTAAAATTAAACGGTGGTACTAATAGTAATATAGGCCTGCTGGTTTTTTAAGAAATCCCAGCTAACTTGAGATAGCACTTAGGCATATTCTCAGTAGCGTCGCCAAGGCGGGAGCCTGGCAGTGGCGTAGCCATAGTTTCTTCCAGGCATCTCTTCGATAGTCTACCCGAAATGGAATTAATATAGAAAATATATACTTCTAACAGTGTCCGCCCCCCCCCCCCCCTAAAATTATGGTCCGCCCCCCCCCCCCCCCCCAAAAATTTCAAGTGCCCCCCCCCCTAGAGGCGTAGCGACCCCTCCCAGCGCCCGGGGACAAACTTTCGATTCGCACCCCCCACCTCGAACTTTTCATTTGCACCCCCCCCCCCTCAAACTTTCGATTTGCACCCCCCACTCGAACTTTTCATTTGCACCCCCCGCCTCAAACTTTAAATTTGGCGCCCCCCCCCCTAAGGTCGGCGCCCGGGGACATATGTCCCCCCCCCGCCCACCCCCCCTCGCTACGCCTCTGCCCCCCCCCCACCCCCCCCCCCCCCCGGGAGAAAAACGTCTGGAAGAAACACTGGGCGTAGCTAAGGGAGTGTGGGGTGACCGCCGAAGGGGGCGCCAAAGGGAGTAGAAATAGACTAAAAGCTCATTTTAACCTGATGTATTGAGTTATACACAGTCAAAGGTAAGAAAATAAAAGCACACAAGGCATTACACATAGTTTTTACTGTTTTCTACATCTTTTTTTGTGGCACGAAATTAAAAACTTATGAGATATATAGTGACTGGTAGAAAACGCCTCCAACAAGTGTTTATTCAAAAAAATAATTCTGCCTGGGGACGGGGGGGGGGGGGGGGGGAGGACGGGGGGGCTAAAATTTCAAGGGGTGGGGGGAAGCGAAGAGATGCCTGGAAGAAACTCTGCCAGCAACCTTTCCAACGGAGGCACTTTTCCACCAGCATGAATAAGTATAAATATAAATGGGAGGAAGGGGGCAGTGGGGCGTAAAATTGATACTTCGCCCTGACGCCGAAATGGGTCGCTACGCCTCTGGAGCAGGGGTGACACTATACCAAATCTAAAACAGAATTATAAAAGTTACTGCCATAGCAAAGCTTTATCAAATATTAAAGAAAGGATTATAGCAGGGAGCAAGAAAAATAGACACCTAACTGTTGGGAGTGGAGAGAGTTGAAACCTTTAATTATTGCACCTTATGAAGCACTGCAAAATACGTATGTATAAGTCAGCATACTTTTGGCTATGGTCACACTCCACCTAGCTTAAATATAGATCTATCTTAGGCGTCGACAACTATCAACACGGATACAAAGGGAGGCGGTACAATGGAGGGGGGAATGTAAGATCTCCAGCCATGATTATTTTTAAAAAAAGTTGCGACCGACATTGTAGTATGAAAGACAGAACTCGGCAAACTTTTGAAGATAATTTCTTCGAGCATATCAGCTAGCCCAAAAGTAACAATTTCCTTAACATTTTACCTAGCCAAAGCCCAACTATAACTATATATATATATATATATATATATATATATACATATATATATATATATGTAAATATATGTAAATATATGTAAATATTGCCCATATAGTTAGGCTTTAGTTTTAGTTACATAAACTATGAATTCATTTAGCAATAGTAAATATAACTTGTATATTGGTATGCATCTTGTAGGACGAAACAAATTAATAATGCAAATGGCGTTTGATAATCGTCTAACTAGCTAACCATTAGATTTCTTTATAAGGCCATACAGTTAGAGCGCTTAGAAGAAAAAAAAATGTTACACAGCAAGCTTCGAGAAGGTGACCGGCTACGCACTGTTGAGGTTAGAGTTAGGGTATAGATTGCGAGACTAACAGTAAACGTATCTGTACTACAGGCTGCCATTCAACGAAGCACCGATTAATATGCCATTTACCCACAACCCAAGGCCATAAATATTTTTTTTCATTCAACTTGCTGTCAAGTTTAGCCCCATTAGCGGGTTTAGGATCCTTGTCATTGACACGAATCATAATGATTCAAGTCGTGTTTGGGAATATATATCATTACACTCTCAGGATACCATCAATCGAAACAGAAAAAAACGTATAGAGAACAGGGTATAGAATAAATAGTTTAGATATACCGGTTTACTTTATATGTATCAATAGTTTAGTGGTAAGTCGCACGTTTTTCTTTTAAAAAAATTACTTCAACCAACTTTATATATATATATATATATATATATATATATATATATATATATATATATATATATATATATATATATATATATATATATATATATATATATATATATATATATATATGTGTGTGTGCCCTGTGTATGCGTGCGTATCTCAAAACTGTAACTCTAATTTTTAAAAACGTTTTCAAAAAGGTATTATAATCATTATTTTCTAATATTTATGTGATGAGCACTGTTACAAATGGTAAGAGTGTAGAGGGGATGGAAGCCGGCGTTGTTACTCAAACAGCAATATAAACTGAAAGTGAAATATCACTTTCTGTTTATATTGCTGTTACAAATGGAAAGAGATGAGCGAAATTTGTTTTCGAACATGTTGAAAAAAAATCTTTTTAAAAATTGAGTTTGAGCAGTCTGGTTTTGGGGAAGCGATTGTACTTATTTTCAAATTTAGCCAGAATAATTATGTTTCTGAAAATAGAATAGCATAAAATAAACACAATTATTTATAATATTCACTAAGTTAACTGTAAGGTAATCGATACTCATAATCTCACATATTAAATGGCATATTGCTTTATTGCAAGCTGTAAACAAACTAAAAAAAAAGTAGACAATTGTTAAATTAAAATTAAAAAAAAAATTATTTGTATCATTTCAATCATTAATACAATTTTAGATGTATGCAAAATGTGCGGTAGTTCCCCCAGTCAAGGAAGTAAAATAGTTACGGTTCGCAGTTGATCAGCTTATAAAACCACCAGTCAATAGGCCTACTTACATTAGCAATACGTAACATTTTTTTTTCTTTTACTCAGGTTAAATGTGAAAATGGCTGTGAAAGTAATGCAACTTCTTCAGCTGATTTTATTTGCTGCAATGTACGGGATATTGTGCAGTTTAGTGTCTGTAGAAAGCGGTAAGTTTTGCACAATAAACTAGTGGTTCGAAATATATTAAGGGTAGACAACCTACGTATTTTGAAAAAGCAAAAAAATACAATTTCAGGTTTAGATATCGTTTAATATAGGCCTACCATATCTTCGTGTTAAGCTATAAAAAAGCAGTTAGATCCCTTTTCAGAAACCTAATCATGATTTCTTCAGGCTTCTAAAAATCAGTCCAATAGCCCCATAAAAATCATAAGTGTAATTTAGTTGCATGTCCAATATGTGTGTTAGATTGAAAATTTTAAACCTAAATACCAATTAACCAATATGTAATTTGGAAATAAATCAGAATAGCTGTTACTGGTCTGCATTGTTTGTTGATATACACAAATCTTAGGATACAGTAAATGTCCAATACAAGAAATTATTTTTTTAAATAATATTATATTTAGTATGTATACACAAATCTGTAGCCATGTTGAGTATAGTGCATCTAAGACCGTAATTAAACCCAGGGGCGTAGCGAGGGGGGGGAGGGGCGGGGGTTGCGGACCGCACCGGGTGACACAATTTAGGGGGGTGACACCAAGGCAAAAAATAGCAAAATATATAGAGAAAAACTTGAGGGGGGGGGGGGGTGCAAATCGAAAGTTTGAGGGGGGTGCAAATAGAAAACTTGAAAGTTTGTCACCGGGAAGGGTCGCTACGTCTCTGGGGGGTGACACCATTAAGTGCCGCACCGGGTGACACCCTACCTCGCTACGCCACTGATTAAACCTTTGATCCGCATACCTCATAAAATCTCTTTTGTTTAGTGTGTAACCCCAACTGGGACCAGAGGGTTGGAACAAATACCTGTTACTTATTTGTTTACAAAGTTACCTCGTGGTACGGTGCTAGAAGCGATTGCTTTGCAAAAGGCGGAGTTTTAACCAGTGTCAGTTCACAGGACGAACAGGATTATATAGCAGGTAAGTGCAGTTAGGAAGCAGATAAGTCGCAGGTTCTTCCTACGAAAACTCCACCATTCTGGATGCTACGATCAGAGTTTCTTTCAGTCTACCGTCCCTCCCCCCAATGAAATGGAATTTATATAGAAAATATTATATACTTTTAACACAATTTTAGTCCCGGAAACCTTAGTTCCCCCCCCCCCCCCATCCACAGAAAAAATTATGGAAGAAACACTGCCTACGAAAACTCTACCTTACCAATGCATACTACATACACATACTCGCACGCACGCACATTTATTATACGCACACACTTACGTGTAAACAACACCCTTATGCTAAAGAAAACAAGTTTTTTAGCTTATTTTTTTCAGAACACTTGCTTATTTTAAATGCCTTTTTTGTACTTTTTTATTTTCTACTTTTTAGAAACTGAATTTTAAATATTTTTTTAGTCGATATGTAGCTGCGTTACGACTAAAATATTAGCTCTAAACCCCGATCAGTAACTGGCGATCATAATATGGTGTGACTGTGTTCAGTTCCTGCATCTTTTAAACAGGGCCTACAATATTTGGTACGGAGAGGTAGTAAAATTATACAGTCTACATACTTTGTTTTGGTATCTATTTGCTTCTGGTTAATCAGCTTATAAATCAGCTTATAAATCAGGTTTATATACCTGTTCAATTAAAAGACAATAAGACATAATTTTCCTAATTCTTGATGTTTACTGAATTAAAAACAAAAAAAAACAACTTTACGCGACAGCGTTGGTAAATGTTCAAGTTTATTTTGCTTTTGTCAACTAATAAAGTAATGTAATTTTTTTCTATTTAACTAGCCAAGATTGGTCGCCTAGGTTATGAAGGTTTGTGGATAGGTTTTACTGACGAAGCTGTAGAAGGTAGATGGATAAATGTCGACGGAACACCTGTCTCATACACCAACTGGTACACAGGTACATTTATTATATCAATGACGGCGCCAGGGCTAAGGCTAGGGCTAGGGCTAGGTCTCGGGTTAGGGCTAGGGCTAGGGCTGCGTTCAGGGCTATGTTTAGTGTTAGGATTGGAGATTGGATTTAAGTTTAGCAATAGAAAGCTTGTTATGTTGATTGATATGGCTATGTATAAATTTAGTATGTTTTCCCGAAAAGGTAGTAATTCCCCGGGATTATTGTCATTAAACACTGTGAGAAATCTCGAATATCGAGAGGGGGGATAAAAGCCAAGGAGTATTACAATATAACCATACTTTAATAAAGTTACTATTGAAAAATTGTGTTTCATGTCACTGAAAATAATTGAAAACATTATGTCCGCTATCTAGGTGAGCCAAACGACGACGCCAGAAAGGAAGACTGTGCTGCAATAACCCAAATTCATTTTCCAAAATGGTATGATAAGGACTGTAGCAATCAGTTTCCTTACATCTGCAAATCAAGCACCGTACCACCGTGGCAAAACAAACTAGGAACAAATCTTTTCTACATGTTTGTTCGAAATCCCTTACCGTTTTATTACGCCAGAGATTATTGTAGGACAAACAATGGATTATTAGCTAGCATAGCATCCCAACAAGAGCAGAATTATTTTTCAGGTAAGCCTATTTGTTTGAAATAGTTTCCATTTTTAGGGTCCTAGTTGTAAAATTGTTTCCCTTGGTACTTTTGATCTCACACATGGGAGGTAAATAGTATTTATTACTATTATATTCAATGCGTTTCCGCTGTCACTGCCCCCCCCCCCCCCGTTTTTAAAGACCCTTCCGTATGCTATAACCAACGGAATTATGATGATAATAATTTATATTGGACTTATTTGACGTGGCTGCTTATAAATTATTTTTAAATTAAATTACTTGGGAAGACACAAAATTATACACATTTTTCTTACCAATTTTACTTTTGTTGAGCTAATATTTTACAAAAACTGTCAAATTAAAATATTAGAAAATAATTTGTTCTGCAAATATTTTTTAAAAATTTGTAATTTCCACAATAGCGTTCTGTTTTGAAATCATTCCATTTTTAAGTTCAGCGATTTTTTAAAAATGTGTGTCTTAGCTATAATTGCATCATTAATGTTTAATCAAATATTTTCATTTTTACTGTATAATCAGCCATGATTGGTCGCCTCGATACAGAATGTTGGTGGATAGGCTTGACTGACGAAGCTGTGGAAGGTAGATGGGAAAATGTTGACGGAACACCGGTCTCATACACTAATTGGTATCCAGGTAATGTTAGTGCATCGATGGCCTTGGCAATAAAAATCTTGGTTACGTATTGTGAAGAAAATAGTAAAAGAACGGCGTGGTCGGATGGTAGAGTGCCATGACTACTAACTGGAATGTTTAAAGTTTGTATCCAAGGCTCGAGTTCATGGGACGTCCGCGGGTCGTTTACTTTCCCTAAATCACAATAGTAAATGTAAAGGGGGTCGGGCATAATACTGACTATACTATTTTTAACGTGCTTTGTTCGCAGAAACAGGTGAACTCTACTTCATGTATCCCATGACCACCTTGGGTAAAAATGGTAATCAAATACACGCTGTTTGACCCAGAGTCAAACATGGAGTTTTCAAAACAGGTGAACTCTACTTCATGTATCCCATGACCACCTTGGGTAAAAATGGTAATCCAATACACGCTGTTTGACCCAGAATCAAACATGCAATTTTTAGTTTTACTAGACAAATTAATTTACACCCTAAAGGTAGCTTTAAAGATAATTGATCGAGTCTGCAACGAAAGCGTTGTTTAATGACCAATAATTAATTACGCTCGATGGTTAGGTAATGACTTCAAGTTAATTACATCCGATATTTATATAACACAGCAATTTAGTGTCAATAAATGCTAGTGCAAACATTAAATCTACCCAGGTGAGCCAAACAATGTGGGTGGAAACGAAGACTGTGCGGGAATAACACAAATTCATTTCCCACTTTGGTATGACAAGGATTGCAATAACCTGTTTCCATTCACCTGCAAATACGGTATGATTTCCACTCTAGAAACAATAGTAGTATTTATCTAAAGTTATTATATGTAAGTTTAATACAAACATACAGCAAAACGACACCGCATTTTTTATAGAATTATTCTCTAAATTTTATTTAGTAACAGATAAATAGGCGCTATTCACTGTAAATAAAAATACAATTTCTTTTTTCAAATTAATGCATAAAATTATTCTGCACAGGCAATTTAGAGAGCTTTCCACATATTATATATATAGTATTTATACTGTGTTACATAATTTATAATTTTTTTTACCCACACCCTACAATATCTATTGTAGTACAACTTTTTATTTTTATAACACCTCCACTGTTTTTATTCTGCTAGCTATTCCTATCGCGCATTGATGCGATCTTAGCGGGAAGGTAATTCAAGAAAACTCTTTATGATAACATCCAATTTAAAATTGCGTTAAATTGAATAAAACTATTTAAGTTTTAAAAATAGCATTCAGTTATATAAATTGGGCCATTTGTTTAGGTTATTTCAAAAGAAAAACATTGATTATATCGCACGGTCTGGACGTATAGTGATAATAATGTTCCAGGCATGATCTAAAACTTCATTTGTTATGTTTCTGCAAGATGATAAATATTTTTAAAAAATACAGAATTTTACCGGCTTTTGGTTCATTACATATTGACAAATTGTATCAGTCTTTAGCCCTGACTGAGCCATTAAAAATGTATTACCCTATCCTAAGCTATCCAGAACTGACTTTACCCTATAAAATATCTAATTAAGATGCCAATGGAGCTAACAAATGTAACTATATTTTACAAAGAACATGTTACAGAATCTTGTGTCTCATCTTTAAGCAAATTTGTTGTAGAAGAATGCGACGTTTTTTTTTTAAAGTAAGCCTAGTAAGCCTTTTTAACATATATTTAAAATATAATATATTAACATAAATGAATATATATATATATATATATATATATATATATATATATATATATATATATATATATATATGTATGTATATATATATATATATATATATATATATATATATATATATATATATATATATATATATATATATATATATATATATATATATATATATATATATATATATATATATATATATATATATGTATATATATCATACATATCAGTTTCTAAAACCTGGGAGAAAAGAAACGGAACAAATTTGCACTACATGTTTGTTGAAATTCATTTACCGTGGTACGAGGCGAGAGATTACTGTAGAGCAAACAATGGAAGTTTAACTAGCGTCACTTCTCAAGAAGAACAGGATTATTTGGCAGGTATTCGATTTTAATTATTTTAAAATATCATTGGATTATGCGATCGATCTGACCCACATTTATTCATTAGATGATTTTGTGTTTGATTAATGACAATATGGAGCAGCCGTAATCAATGACTAAACTGTATTAGGCAAAATGTTAAAAGTTTTAGGGGCAATCACACGGTAAAACCTTGTCTTTCAATACGATAATAGACTGTAATGGACTGACGTAAAGCAACATTGTGTTTGTTGTTGCTGAAACGGGGTTGTTTATTTCTAATATGTTTTTCAGACTTCTTTCTCTCAGGGGAGTTGGGGGCACTTGACAGTTATTGGACAAGGGCAGACTTAACTTTTTGGGGTGGGGGGCGGACACTGGTTAGAGGATATTATGTAGGCCTATATATACAGTATATATATATATATATATATATATATATATATATATATATATATATATATATATATATATTTATATATATATATATTTAGCGGTGGGAGTCTCCCTGCCCTTCCTGCAGAGATGCTGGAAAAAACTGTTTAATTCTTCTTTTTGAAAGACTCTCATTAGTCATTAATACATTATGCCACTTCTGCTGTAAATATAATGATTGAAAATTGGTGGTCCCTTATTTCATTGTAATCAATTTTAACATTGTCAAATTGCCATACTTTGTTAAAGTTTGTAAATAAATATTTTGCGATATATTCATTAAAAAACAGGACGAAGTAAATCTTTTCAAGACCACTGCTGGATAGGTTTCTCTAACGAACGTGAAATCGGAGTGTGGCAATGGGAGGATGGTTCACCTGTAACATACTTAATCTGGGATCGCTTTCTGAGTATGTCAGTTTTATCTGCATTTATATTTGGGATAATATTGTAGCTTCATTATTTTAAGTTAAACATATGAACAAAGACAAATTAATAGATAAATCATTATTATTTTTTAGCACATTCAGCCAATTGGACTATTGAGCATTGCGCAGTTCTTGCAAAATATAATTTTTCAACATGGCATGATGAAAAATGTGTAACAAGGTATCCGTTTATCTGCAAGCAAGCACCTAGTAAGTTTAATATTGATAATTTAACCGAAGGCTTTACAAGTTTGATAAACAATGCCGTTCGAAATTTAATTATGTCATCTATCATTTACTTTTAGCTTTAGTATTCGAAAAGACGAGTTTCATATTATGGTGATACTAGTAATAGGCTATGCTAATTTTGTAACATTTATGATAATTGTTGTAAATATTTACCTGTAATAAGTTGTTGATTCAATGAACAAATTATAATTGATTCTGTTTTAAAGGGATATACACCATGCTTGTGTAGTAAACATATATCACGTATTCTAGGTTATTTTTTAAAAGTGTTGCAGCTAAATCAAAGTCATTTAGTTTGCAAAACTGAATGTGCATAATTATTTATTAACGATTTGAATAAGTACACGGTTTAACTGAATTTTAAAATGCGACTATATTTTTTTCAAGTCACATATCAAATTTGTTTTTTATAGAACATTTTAAGTTGTTTTTAAGAAAAAATACAGAAAACAAATTATTAATGATAAGTTTTTTATAATTTTTAAAGTATTTTTAAAGTTTCATTTCAATATGTTTGTGGAATTACACATGTTTAACGTATATATCGTTTTATACACATTTGTTTCTTGGTTGAGTTTGATCTTAATAGGCTTAGCGTTATGTTTTATTTTTATGATTAAGTACTTTTATGATATATATATATATATATATATATATATATATATATATATATATATATATATATATATATATATATATATATATATATATATATATATATATATATATATATATATGTATATGTATGCGTACACATATACATTAACTGATAAATACATTCAAAATTTTAGACATGACTAACAGTACACACACAACCCTCTCATTTACCTGGGAGAATAAATATGGAACAGATTTGCACAACATGTTTGTAAAAACTAGCTTATCATGGTATGACGCAAGAGATTATTGTATATTACACAATGGAAATTTAATAAGCGTAACATCCCAAGAGGAGCAAGACTATATTACAGGTATTATTAGATTCCCTTTCTAAAAATATGTATCATGAGAGCGTCACACCATTTAAATAAAATGAAATTACTGTTATTATGAAGGTTTTATGTAGTTCACATTATGTCTGTATGTGATTATAAAAGGTCGGATTAGGTCTGCTCAAGGGCATAGCTGGATTGGATTATCGGACGAACTTCAAGTCGGAAATTGGCAATGGAAGGACGGATCACCTCTAACATACTTTAACTGGGATCGTATAGTAGGTTCGTGTTGTTTTATAGGTTATGTTGTATTTTAAATAAAATATGAAGTACTCAAGGCTTCGTGTATTCATTGTATTTATTATAATTATTAGCTCAAACAGATAACACGACATATGGCTATTGTGCTCTACTTGCCATTTACAACGTTCCAATGTGGCATGCTGCCTCTTGTATGTCATCGTTTCAATTTATCTGCAAAAGAACTTTCAAAGGTAAATCAGTTGTGTGTCTGACAATTTGTATTGAACTTAATTTTAACATATATATATATATATATATATATATATATATATATATATATATATATATATATATATATATATATATATATATTTATATATATATATATATATATATATACATATATATTTATTTATTTATTTATTTATTTATATATATATATATATATATATATATATATATATATATATATATATATATGTAGGCCTATACATATATATATATATATATATATATATATATATATATATATATATATATATATATATATTACATTTTTATTGTATGTATCCATGATAATAATTCTGAATTTGGCGTTTAGTTGATTTTTTTTAAAAAATGTATTATATATATATATATATATATATATATATATATATATATATATATATATATATATATATATATATATATATATATATATATATATATATATATATTTATAAGATTGTGATATGATAAAAACATCCTTTTTTTGCGTTGCTCGTATAACTCACGCCAATAATAATTTTCGACACATTTTGTTTTGTGTTTTATACAAGGATCTCTTGTAGAGGTAGGTAAAATAATTTTTCTTATATGGATTTTTATTTTTTACGTTGCACTTGATGATGTATGAACGTTGACTTTAAGGCTTAAGAGTAAAATCGGCCTCATTTTTGTATGTTTGTTCTCTCTATTAAATAACTATACAAATTACAGATTGTTTCAGCCGGGTTTAAGTATACTGTTGTTTTTTATTCATATTTTTAAATAAATATTTATTAATCTCGTTTATTAAATGACTGAACTAAATGAAATGTACATACATATTTATTTTGATTTATCAATGTGAAATTAATAATGCTATACACCTAATTATTATTTTTAATCAATAACAGTTTAGAAGCCTCTCCTAAATGTACTCTATGCTTGCTTCTATCTTTCGGTTTGCGGACAAGCTTGGGGTATTATAGCCGTTCTCTAAATTGAATCAGGCACGCCTGCCGTCGCCCGGGCAGGGTTCGATTTGGCGCCCTGGGCTATCCTGTGAGCGCTCTTTTTTGCGTATTATTCAACGATACCGATCTAATTTTTGCAATGGACGATTAGTGTTTGATGCAAGCTTGACATTTGTACAAATTTTTGGCTAATCACTGAGAATATCGAGCATATCGAGCATAACATAATAAAAGTAAGCAAAACGTGAATTGCTTAATTTAATATTGTTGTGAAATTACTCAAAAATATGATAAACTTTAGAAAATTGTATATTGCGTCTTACTAAAATAATTTCATTATTTTTTTTAAAGCATGCAGGATAAAAACAAAACATACAAAAAATAACTTGATCGATAAAACAGCTAACTATCCCCGCCCATTTTACCCGTCGTGTATTTGAATGGGGAGAAATCTAGCAGACGACACATTTCTGCTGAACGGCGGTGAAAGGTTACAACAACACTCCTTAAAAACTAACCCGCGGTATCACTGAGTTTCAGTCATATCATCGTAGCCATTTAAAAACATACGCGTGTGTTCACAAATCAATGCAGCGAATTCGTTCACCACCAACACAAAACAAGAACAACTGAATTTTAATCTTTTAAGATATTAAAAGTATCATTAAAATGTACGATACGAGTTCAATAGCAAGAGGGGACATAACAAGTACTAGCGGTGAACGGTTGGTTTGTTTCACGCCTGAGATCTGTCAACAGACCAAAAAGGGGCAGGTAATGTGTAAAAGATTTTATGAGCGGCCAAATGCTTTCATTCAAGAACGTTTGACACTTGTGCTTACCTTCATTATTTTACATTATTTTAAAGATACTTAAGATTTAAAATAAATATTACAACGTCTGCAAAGTTGTTAACTAGGCCTATATGAAAGCTAAAAAAAATCCTCTTTTTGTTCCCGTTTTACTTTTATGTATTCTGCTGCTAGTTTGATAAAAAAAAGTTGACTTGATCTCAAGTACGGGAAGATATATTCTTGGATTCCTTTTCTTACGAAATATATTACGGTTTGTAAACGGCTGGTTTTAAATCTATAAATAACCAAGCCTGTGTTCATCAACGTATGTGGTAAAACGAGGTTACACGATGTGTACTATCAACAAGTATTTGGGTCACATTTCACGCAGTGTTAGGTACACTCTGTAAAATGGTGACACTTTCCTAATTTAATTTGTTATTAATATTTTTAATAGGGTTTTTTAATAAAAATACCCAATATACAGGTCTTTTAACTGTTAAATTATCTCTAAAAAAATATTGGGAGGTTGAAAAACATCAGAATTTGTCAAACTCTCGATTAAGAATCGAACATGCTTACAAATACATACTGTACGCTCCGTATAGATAAAGCAGAGAAAACTGTCACAATTTAATTTAATTTTGTGCTCTATTACTATACTTCTTCTATACTCAGCAAAAAAAAAGTATAACGTTTTCGGGCTTTTAATGCTTCAAATAATATTTATGGTAACCTATTTCACTATGGATGTATTTTACTTCAGCGATGCATAACATTCCTATGTCTGAATGGTGTGCTTAGGTTGCACTTGTTTGATCAAATACATTTGTCGCGTTCTCATTGCATGGCTTATGTGTGTAGAATGTAAGTAACAACTGTTAAACTACGCCCATAAGGATTAATCGATTTTTATGTATGGAAAGTATACAAGCAATATATTATGATTAAAAATTCTATCAAGTGAAGATAGATCAAAACAAAATACATGTACTTTAAGAGTTCATAAGCTTTGTGCAAATACGTTGGCTTAGCCTAGGAACACCAAATATAAGGTAGGTAAAAACTTATAACAATAACTGCATAACAATGTTTTATATAATACATGCGTTTGAATTGTATTATAGTCTTTCCGCGGAGGGCGAGCTTAAAAGGGCGACAACATTTAGAGACTCTCTCTCTCTCTCTCTCTCTCTCTCTCTCTCTCGCTCAGTCTCTACTCTTTCTGTCTCGGTCTCTGCCTTCGTCTCTCTCTCTCTGCCTCAGTCTATGTCCGTGTCTCTGTATCTGCCTCCGTCTCTGTCTGTCTTTCTCTCTATCTCTGTCTTTCTCTCTATCTATATCTCTGTCTCTCTCTGTCTCTCTTTCTGCCTCAGTCCTTATCTCTGTCTCTTTGTCTCTGCCTGTATCTCTTTATATATATATATATATATATATATATATATATATATATATATATATATATATATATATATATATATATGTGTGTGTGTGTGTGTGTGTGTGTGTGCGCATGTGTGTGTGTGTTTTATTTTAGAGTGGACTATGACATTCTTAAACCATGTACAGGACACGCATATTTACTTAAACTTATTTAAACTATATTTACTTAAACAGCAGTGTACGCAACTATTAACGCAATAGCTTGTAAAACGAATACACACGCAATTCGTTTTTTTTTTTGGTCTTGTAGTTAATCTCTTATTTTAAGGTTGTATGACAGTAACATAAACAACTTGAAATACTTAACTTCATTTGTTAACATTGTGTACAATCCAAACAGTAACAGACTAAAACTAAAACGAACTTGCTATATTTTAATTTTCAGGGGAAATATCAAAATGGTATTTAAGATACAACTAAAACGTGAGTTACACCTGTCACTTGTGATTTTCGGAGTATTCTGCAAAATATTTGCAAATAGTAGCGGTACGTTTTGCAATTGGATAATTGCTTTGTTTAAGTTTATGTTATGTGAATTTAAATAAAATATTATTGTAACGTTTTAATACCACGTTTTAATTACATATTTGCACTAAAAAGTGAAAAAGAAAATAATACACGATTTTCTTTAAATACAGTCTATGATAATAAACCACTATTTTAATAACTATAAGTATTTATATAGGTATACAAATATGTAAAGGTATTCATAATATGTAAATCTTACATATTGTTTTTGTATATATAATATGCACATTTTAACAGTTACAGGTATACAAGTGACTCAAATGACTGATACTACCACTAAATCCCCTTCGTTTATCTGGGAGAATAGAAACAGTACAAATCTGTACTACATGTTTGTGACAACTCCTTTGTCATGGTATGATGCAAGAGATTACTGTAGAGCAAACAATGGGAATTTAACTAGTGTTACATCACAGGAGGAGCAGGATTATTTGGCAGGTGTTTGAATTAAACAAGATTTTGTTTTTATTTTTCATTGTACAGAATAACATGCAAAGTATTTACGAAATATTATTACATTTCTAGCAGCAGTTTAAGAGTGTAATTTTATTTTAGTAAAATATTCATTAATTATATGTGTTTACTCGCATAACGTATGCATTTGCAGAATAATTTAATAATAAAAAATATTTTTTTCAACAGAAAATTTAAAAAAAAATTGTTATCAATAAGTTCGACACAAAGCAGTTTTTTTTTTAAATTGTACTATTTTTAATGCGTTATATAACTTAACATTTTAAAAAATCTTATTTTTTTTTCGAAACAGTCCATACGAGTTTTTATATAGATCACTGCTGGATCGGATTAACTGCTGAACGTGAAGTGGGAGTATGGCAATGGGAAGACGGATCACCTGTAACATACACCAACTGGGATCACATTCTACGTATGTGTGTTATTTACAGCTACTTTTAAAATAAAACTAGAATTTACATATATCTTTTTATAACCATGTATTTTAGTTTTAAAACATGAATAAAGAAATAATGTTGTTTAATAGTGCAGCCGGATACTTGGAGTCAAGAATATTGCACAGTTATGGGAAAGTTGAATTTTCCTACGTGGCATGATGTACACTGTTTTTTACCTTTTCCGTTTGTCTGCAAAAGAACACCTGGCAAGTATCAAACTTATAATTCACAGAAAACTGTTCAGTAACCGTGGACTGTTTATTTCGGTATTTAATACTTTGATAAAAGAATATTTTTTCAAGTATTCGAAAAATTATATATTCCAAGCTTTTTTTTGTAAAATCTTCATTGATTTTTGTGCATTTTATCATAATGTATTTTGACTAAAAATCGTGCAATTAACTTTCAAGATAAGTGTATTTTTTACACAAAATGTAGTTGATTACTATTAGTTTGAGATGGCGATTGTTCCGCGTCTTAATTAATAAATTCAGACGTGTGTAATATTTACGCTAATATGTTAATTGGAATTTGTATATTTTACTTTAATTTACATTTATATAGGTATACAAATATGTAAAGGTATTCATAATATGTAAATCTTACATATTGTTTTTGTATATATAATATGCACATTTAAACAGTTACAGGTATACAAGTGACTCAAATGACTGATACTACCACTAAATCCCCTTCGTTTATCTGGGAGAACAGAAACGGTACAAATCTGTACTACATGTTTGTGACAACTCCTTTGTCATGGTATGATGCAAGAGATTACTGTAGAGCAAACAATGGGAATTTAACTAGTGTTACATCACAGGAGGAGCAGGATTATTTGGCAGGTGTTTGAATTAAACAAGATTTTGTTTTTATTTTTTATCATGCAAATTGTTTACTTTTATTACTTTTCTAGCAGCAGTTTAATTTAAGAGTGTAATTTTATTTTAGTAAAGTATTCATTAATTATTTGTGTTTACTCGCATACCGTATGCATTTGCTTAATAATAAAACATATTTTTTCAACATAAAATTTAAAAAAAAATGTTATAAATAAGTTCGACACAAAGCAGTTTTTTTTTTAATTGTACTATTTTCAATGCGTTATGTAACTCAACATTTAACAAAATCTTGTTTTTTTTTCGAAACAGTCCATACGAGTTCTTTTATAGATCACTGCTGGATCGGATTAACTGATGAACGTGAAGTGGGAGTATGGCAATGGGAAGACGAAACACCTGTAACATACACCAACTGGGATCACATTCTGCGTATGTGTGTTATTTACAGCTACTTTTGAAATAAAACTAGAATTTACATATATCTTTTTATAACCATGTATTTTAGTTTTAAAACATGAATAAAGAAATAATGTTGTTTAATAGTGCAGCCGGATACTTGGAGTCAAGAATATTGCACAGTTATGGGAAAGTTGAATTTTCCTACGTGGCATGATGTACACTGTTTTTTACCTTATCCGTTTGTCTGCAAAAGAACACCTGGCAAGTATCAAACTTATAATTCACAGAAAACTGTTCAGTAACCGTGGACTGTTTATTTCGGTATTTAATACTTTGATAAAAGAATATTTTTTCAAGTATTCGAAAAATTATATATTCCAAGCTTTTTTTTGTAAAATCTTCATTGATTTTTGTGCATTTTATCATAATGTATTTTGACTAAAACTCGTGCAATTAACTTTCAAGATAAGTGTATTTTTTTACACAAAATGTAGTTGATTACTATTAGTTTGAGATGGCGATTGTTCCGCGTCTTAATTAATAAATTAAGACGTGTGTAATATTTACGCTAATATGTTAATTGGAATTTGTATATTTTACTTTAATTTACATTTATATAGGTATACAAATATGTAAAGGTATTCATAATATGTAAATCTTACATATTGTTTTTGTATATATAATATGCACATTTAAACAGTTACAGGTATACAAGTGACTCAAATGACTGATACTACCACTAAATCCCCTTCGTTTATCTGGGAGAATAGAAACAGTACAAATCTGTACTACATGTTTGTTCCTACTCGTTTATCATGGTATGATGCAAGAGATTACTGTAGAGCAAACAATGGGAATTTAACTAGTGTTACATCACAGGAGGAGCAGGATTATTTAGCAAGTAATCTTAGTTTTTTAAATTGTTTTATAGAAATTAAACTAAATTGCCTCATACTACTAAAACTCTTTGCTAGGTTTACAAATGTGTACATTTTTTTTTGGTGTAAATTCCGCGTGATCGGAGCATCTGCACTATGTGTAGAACTAAATGTAAAATGCATATTTATGTAGAGAATAATGTTCATTGTTCCCGAAATTGTGTACACACATTTCTTTAAAGAGAGTAATTAATGTATTGAAAATTGATATATTTATTTATTAAAACACCCATCTGATTATAAAAGTTCAGAACAAATACTTTATTTACTTATTTTCACAACAAACATGGCGGCTTCCATGGAAGACCATGTTTCCCATTCAAAATTGTAACGCATTAATTTATAAAACAAAATTTTTCTTGCGGCTATAGCTCTGTTTATTTGTATCCGACACTAATTTACATTTTTAATAGATTCAAGCTGTCGGAGGAAAGTAAGCCAAACCAAAAGTAATTAGTTAAAAAGAAAAACAAGTTTATAAATAATTGAGATTCTTTATTAAACTATTTTAGTCCTTGAATATTTAATAAAAATCTTTTTTTTTTTTTTTTTTGCAACGGCATTGTTAAAATTAAAATATCATTTAATTCAAAATAATATATGGTTTGATTTTACTTTCTTACAGAGGCTACGTAAAATAACTCAAATATATATATATATATATATATATATATATATATATATATATATATATATATATAGGCTATATATATATATATATATAGGCTATATATATATATATATATATATATATATATATATATATATATATAGCCTATATATATATATATATATATATATATATTGCCTATATATGTTCTCTAAAAATGTATCTGGTGCAGTGGCGTAGGTAAATGGGGGGGGGGGGGGGGTTGGGGTTAGCTTTTTGTGACGATATGTGATAGTGGGTAGGGGAGGTTAAAGATAAAAATCGTCAAACGAGCTTGACGTAGTTAATGAATGACTTCGAAACACACAGTTATCCAAGGATAACGGAGTGTCTAATATTCTCATAAAGATTGTATTATTGCGCCTTGGAAATTAAGGTCATGACCTACGAAGTAAGTTAAGAAGAGCCACGTATCATGCACCCTTTACACAAATACGTGATGTTAGCAATGGATATGTGCTACCTATAAGTACTATTTGCCATTAGTCGTGTCGCAAGGGGTTCGTTCATATTTGTTTTCAGACTTTTCTCGCCTAGATGGGTTGCCATCCCCACCACTATGACCAGCAATCAGCCCGGGAGTTCGATCTCAGGACTTTTCTATTTATTATTAGTATTCATGTTTTTCGCATTTAAATTTAAGTGATGGAATATGATTCGCTGCATTACAATTGAAACAGGTCGGATGAGCTTTGCTAAAGACTGCACCTGGATAGGGTTTTCTGACGAATCTGGAATCTGGAAATGGGAGGACGGATCATTAGTAAAATACACGAATTGGGATCGTAATGTGTGTATGTATGTTTTTACGCCGTTATAATATGTGTATATAAGTATATGTACACAATGTAAAAATGATTTTATAGATACATATTCAGGGCCGTTTTTCTACTCATTAGCTGATCTGGACAACAGGACAAATGAACACTGTGCAATTATTGCCATATACAACGTGGCAATGTGGCAAGGCGCTTCGTGCAAGTCATCGTATCAGTTTATGTGTAAAAGAACTGGCAAAGGTTTGCATTGTTTTATATACGTATGCTAAATGTGTATAGGAAAGCTAATTAATTATTATAAATTGTACATATTTTATCATTTATTTATTTAAGTTATTTTACTGAAAAAAAATGAGAATCTGTGAACTCTATTCTTGAATAATTTCATACTTTATTTTTTTTTTAAACGTAGGCCCCTACTTTAATTTTACGTTTTCAAAAATGTTTACCGCCCGTAAAAATAATTCGGCACTTCATTTTGTTTTTCTCTTGATAAAAAAGACAAGTTTTCAAGGTAAGTGTTACAGAATGGCAAATTTATATTATGGTTAACTTTGGTTGTTATATTAATGTTTTCTTGAACATTTATAAAATAATATATTAAGACACACATATTTGTTTATAAATTTAAAAAAAAATGATTATTTTACATTTTCTGATCTAGTTAATCATTTTTGCATAATAAATGTTATTAAGAACAGTTGTTTAAAAACAGATTTATATTTATTGATTAATATTTTTTTATTGTTTGTTATGTGAAATACTGTTTCTGTACCGATGTAGTCCTACGTAATATGCAGATTTTTAATAAAATATTTTTGAGGTGAAATTATTACTACTAACATGTCTATCAGCAGTGTAAAAAACGTTTTTATTAGCGACAAAACCAAAAGTACAAGGTAAGCTGTATAGGCATATCTCCTGCTCTAGACAACAGTCAACATTGTATGATTTATATTAGTGTTGCAGATGAATTCTTTATGTAAGTAAAAATAAATAATTACCCGATCACCAACTGCTTTTTAGGTGTCTGTTACAGTTATAATTAATATAAGGTTAATGCGATTATAAGACACGTAATGACTTTCTATTTTTTTTTTCAGAGAGGTTTTTCTACATATGTTGAATACAGTTGAAAGTGGGGGTTATATTTTGATTTAGTTGTTTGTAATTTTGATGAGGTAAGTGTTAAAATGATGTTACAATTTATTTGACCTTTAGTATCGCATAGATTAGACATTGTCTGTAATTGTTTAGTACCCGGGAAATAATGGAAACGGCATTGTGACCAAGATCACATTTCCGTTTCATTATAATTTTTTGGAGGTATGATTCCATGCTGAATTTTATTGAGAACTGTTTAACTAGTAAAAGTTATGCGTTTGATCCTAGCGGTCATTGGGGCAGATGAAATAGAGTTGACTGTTTGAACTAATATATAAGATATTCACATAATGAAATTAAATGAAACTACTTGATTAAATTAAACTACTTGATTTATGTCTTATGTCTCATGTTTAGCCCGAGCAAGGAGACTGTCCAGTCTGAAAAACTTTATTGTGACTGGTTCAGTTAATACGAGTGTGACGTCATTTATGGACGACCCCTAATCGATGGTTCTTAAACGGCTTTAATTTTTGAAAATGTAGCTATAATTGTATCGCTTGCCATATTTTTAAAAATATTTTAAAAAAAAAAAATTAGTGTAATTAAAAATACTTTTCCTACCTATTGCAGATGTGCTATAGCACGCAAATATGTCAGTACATCTGTTTGACCATCTGTCAGTACATCTGTTTGACCATTATGTCAGTACATCTGTTTGACTATATGTCTGAATAGCACGTTGTAATTTTTCGTGCAGCATTCTTTATAGCTTCTCAGTTGGGTAGCTTGCTCCTGCGACACTTTGCAAGAAAGTTGTCTTTTGTCGTGTAAAGTGCATATGTAGATCTTCAAGGAAACGTTACATTCTTGGGTGACTACATTGGAGGAGAGAATGAAGACTGTAATGCCATCTTTCACAAATGTTATTTGTTCGTGCTACACCATTGCCAATTGTGTGTATTTGATTTTTAAAATTAATACGTACCATATATGCACAAAGCGCTTGTTATTAAACGCTCGTATTGGAGAAAATACCTGCGATCAAAGACCCTCTGCTGAGAAATCACATGTGGTCAAACCCCTTATGGTCAAAGCCCCGTTATGGTCAAAGCCCCACTGTGGCCAAAGCCCCTCTGGTCAAAGGTCTGTGCACCTTTGATTAAGGAGACGGCGTGGTCAAATCGTAGAGCTTAAGGACCTTCACCCTAAAGATTCAACCTCGGATCCCGGGCTCGAGTATGTAGAATATATCTAAGCAGCTCTGATAGGTACCTAACTTTACGGAATTTAATTAAGGCAACTGAGCATAATTCTGACTACACTAGCTCCATGTATGCCATGGTCATTGAACCGGATGAACTCTACTTCATTTGCCCCATGTGTCTTGGGCACGAACGGGAATTGATACATAGGTTGATTGAAAGACTGCTAATCAAATCATTTGTAAAGATTAGCATTAAATTTACAGGCAGCTTTGCTGCTTCACCGAGTCGATTACTTCTTACCAGCGTTAGAAAAAAATTAAAAAGCTAAATGTTTCCCGCCAAACACGAACAGCTATCATTAGATTTGTAGTTAAATCTCTATACTAGCTCTGTCTCAAACTGTTGAGAAAAGCAAGCAATTTAGACTTATAACAGACTTATAACAGTTCAAATACATTATACACATGCGTATCTTGAAAAACACTAGCAGTCTATTGTCAGAAATCATTTATGTGTAGATCTAGTATGCATTACCAAACGCTGATAAACTTGCATTTCCTCAAGGTAATGATAGATTAATGCATATTTTTCCTTATTTCATTATGTGATTCCTAGTCTATATAGAAAAGGCTTACTGTGTAGACAACGTGAAATTTTGTTACTGCGTTTAGAAAAATAAAAAACGTAAAATACAGACAAAAATGTTAGCTTGTTATTAAGTTACAGCCGATTGCTAGAATTATTTATCGATGTATCAAAATTATACATCTTACACACATTCAGTAATGTATGTTTTACAATCTACGGTCAACATGAAGTAATATAATTATATACAGCCACTGAAACAAGATTTGATTAGGAATATTATTGCAAACTCATCGTTAATGATACACAACATTACTTCCAACAAAGGCACGTCTTTTAATTAGCCTGTTACAAATGATGATACTACCATCGTGATTTCTTTGTATTTTGTTTTATTTTTGCAGGATACTTTGTATGTATTGCCATAATTTACAAAACCACAATGCCTTATTTACTTACTTTGCATTAAGTCTGTAATAAAAACTCGACCTATAAAATTAGGTTTGCGTGCTTTTTCTGTTTTGTAATGTAAATCGCAGTTGCTTTATCTCCAAGTAACATGAGTTGTTATATTTAAGTATGAAGCGATTATACTTACATTCTGTATGTTGATAATAATCATCGAAACAAAGCCGCACCAAGAAACAAACTTGAAATTTCACAAAGAGACCAAAAATTCGTTATTTATTAATGTTAACATAAATAAATGTTCGTGTGGCTTCAACGCTTGATCTGTTTACAGTTTGTTAAAAGAAAACAAAATTTGTGTACACATCCTGGTATTTGTGTTGGTTTTTGATTGGCATTTAAAGCAATTGAGGACATGTGATTTTTTAAAATCTTGAGCTACACTATTGTAAAAAAGAGAAATTAATTGATGTGATCTCACATGAACATCTGTTTAGTTTTCGATGTGGTTTAAAATATATTTTCAAAGTATATCAAAATATTTCATTATTTTTTTCTAGGCAAAGATCTTACCTAAAGCGATTCACTATATTTTTAGCGCTGTAATGGAATCAATATTTAATCTAATTGCAAAACAATCTTTATTAGAATGTGTATAGAAAAGTTATGTTATATCACATTTATATAATATAATATATAATACATATTTTTATATTTTTATTTATATATATAAAATTATGTCAGATGGAAATGCAAGTACAGTACTATATTACACTGATATGGCTCTAGGTGTCTATATCTATGATATTTCTCCTAACGTATTTGATCAATTATCTACCTTCATCAATTGTTTCCTGATTCATATCATGTGTTTATTTGGAATCCTGGGTAACGTGATCACCATAGTGATCTTAGTTTACAACGGCTTCACTGTGGCTACAAATATCGCGCTAATAGCCTTAGCTGTTTCTGATTTGTTCTACTCAGTAACACAAAGCCTGGGTCGAGTCCAATCCATTGTTTACAAATTTAATCCTGATTTAGCTTACTGTTTCTATTCATATTACATGGTGTATATTTTTGCATGGAATCAATGTACCATAACTACTAGTGCATACATCGTTACCGCGATAGCCATTGAGAGAATGATAGCTGTATGGTTTCCTTTTAAAGTAGTTCATTTGATAACTCCTATCAAAATGGGATGTATTGTTATTTTATTAGGCGTTTTAACAGTAGTTATATATTCCCCTTATGCAATTTATGTACAGTTAGACCAACGTACTTTGTTTGTTAACAAAACAGTCACGTGGTATAAACAAAACCAACCATACATTAACAATGTTAATTTCTTTGAAGTTTATCGTACATTTGTGACAATATTTTCTAATGTTATTATTCCTCTCATTATTATTCTTGTGTGTTGTTTTGTAATCATTTTAAGGCTTACATTGTCAAATAAGACTATAAAGAAAATGACGTTGTCAGAAAAAAGGGTTAGGGATTTAAAATCAGTTAAAATAACCTTGTTAGTGTGTTTAAGTCTTGTAGTTCTGGTTTTAATACCACTGAACGCGTTAGATATTTATTTATCGTATTCACAGACCAACTTGATAAGTCCTAGGATCCAGAGTGTTCTAATGTACTTGCTTCAATGTGTTTCACAATGTAGTGCTTCAACAAATTTTATTATTTATGTCCTTTTTAACCCAAAATTTTTTAGTACATACAAAAAATTGTTTTTACTGCGATGTTATATGCAATAAATTTAACAGAATATTGGCGTCGGGAGACTTAGTGCGGGGGTGCGGACCGCACCGGGTGACACCAATTAGTGGTATGACTCCAAGGCTAAGAAATTGCAAAATATGTAGAACAAATGTTCTTTTTTGCCAATTCATTCAATGATTAATTAGAGTTTAAAAGTATTTCTGGTACAAACTGACGATCCCGACATGGGGTGGGGAAGGAGGGGTGGGGGTCGTGACTCCATGACATAAACCTACAAACTAAAGAGAAAATAGTGCTACATCCAGCCACATGTATAATCAACTACAGATAAATATCTTTACTACTAAATATGAACCTTTTAAAGGTTATATATATATAATATATAGTTAATATATATTTTTTTTCTTTGGGGGGGGGGGGGTGACACCATGAGTTACCGCACCGGGTGACACCCGATCTAGCGACGCCACTGCCACTGAATAAACCGGTTTATCACCTAGTGTAATTGTAAATAATAGTATTTTGAAGTTCTAGGCAATCATTAAAAAATTTTAACAGTAAAAGTTTAAAAATAGTGTTTTTTTTTAATTTTGTATCTGATGATTTTTTTATATTCTTTCTATCATATAAATAATTGAACTCAAATTGAAATGTTTTACTTAAGTACCTAACCAATAGCTATAGTCAAAGATTTCACGTGTTAAATACACATGGATGTAGTTTGTAATTTTCTTTTTCACATTGATAAAAGTGTTTAAAAATCATGTTATAACCAAAATGCTTTTTATGAAGATTTGTAAGTTCGATTTTTATTTCAATTTTTGTTTGCTTGTTATAATAATATATATTGTAAACTACTATTTTTTTAAATATTGTGGAGCAGTTTTCGCACTAAACAATAAACATGCTTGCTTTAATTCTACAATGGCTTTCATTTTTTTTTTCAAGTTGATGTCTTGTTAATTAAATGTGGTTAATTAATTTAAGTAGCCTTCTTGATACAAAACGGTGCATGCATACCTTACACAAATGTATCTACATACTTTCTACGATTATGATAAAAGAATTTTTTTTTTAAATTAACTAGCAATATATTCGTAGCCTATATGCAGATCTTATTATACATTCGCCAATTTATAGATTTTGACACAAATATATTTGGTTTTAATGGATTAATGAAATTAATGGTAATTTTTCTCGTAAGCAAAGTATCATATTTAAATCTTACTTGGCAACTTAAATTTATTGCTTTCATCAGAAACAAAATTTAAAAATTCACAATAACTTAACTTGAAGATCTACACTTAAAATATATCTGAGTACTTAAAAACTATTTCATAACATTTTGAATTCATACTTTCTAAAAGCTAAAATATATTATTTAATGAATTTTGGAAATCCTATAAATAGGTTAATTTTTAAAGATGGCCGCTGTTTCATAGATACTAAGGTTCACTCACCAAAAGTAAATGGAAACCAGAGGCTTCGTGAGGGATGAGGGTGGAGGGGGTGTAGGGGGGGGGCGGACCGCAAAAAATAAATAAATAGCAAAATACATAAAGAAAAACAATGATCGGTCTAGTTAAATAAATTATTAATTACAGTTAAATAGTGTTCTAAGATCACAAATCCCGACCAGAATGTGTACAGTTTAAAGTTAGAACGGTGTGGGGGGGGGGGGGGGGGGGGGGGACGACGACGACACCAACTACACTTAACATTTGCCTGAGGAAAAAGCACTTGTTGAGAATTGTAATAACTGATGATATGTCGCTCTACTACTGAGATGTGGGTGACACCAAATTTAATAATTTTCTACAAAAAGCAATGATTTTTCCATTCGAATTCATAATTGTTTGAATTCAGCCCCTCAATGCTTTTTCTATGTGGATTAATATAAATTGACGATACGGAGGTCTGAAATCATTTGTCCATGGTATCATTTGTCCTGATATATTGTGTCCTGATATCTTTTGTCCGTGAGACCATTTGTCCTGAGATCATTTGTCCTGAGATCATTAGTCCGTCAGATATATTTTGTCTGATATATTTTGTCTGATATCATTTGTCCTATATTTGTCATATATATATATATATATATATATATATATATATATATATATATATATATATATATATATATATATATATATATATAATACTTATAAGTAGCAATTAACAAGCAGATTTTGTAAGCCGTATCTCCATTAATAAATAAATCTAATGGTTAACATGTGTCTGTTATATGTTATTTAAACCACTTTACTTAACTTTCCCCGTCGAACCGGACCTCGTGTTTATGAGGTTAATATAACATTATACACACACTGATATATATATATATATATATATATATATATATATATATATATATATGTATATATATATATATATATATACAAAAATATTAACTTATTCTTTTCTCATTCTCCCCGAAACACTTGAAAAGAATAACAAGGTTATTGAATATTTAGCCATACAAAAAACATTAACAAGATGAAAATAATTCAAGCTACAAATTAGCAATTACTTAAGACGTATATAAACACTGAAGAATAAAACACCCATAGAAATAAGTAGCTATAAATTAGATAATTACGATGTAAAACTAACGGCTATAATTTTAGGTAATTACACGGCAATAACACCAATGGTTCTTTAATGTATGATAATAATAAAAACAATAGTAACGGTAATAATAATAGAATTGTATATTTAACATGTAACCTACAATAAAATACTTAACAAAAACGAACCAAAACAAAAACATCACTAGTGTTTCATAACACGATAGATTATTAAACTAACTGTCAACACTAATATCCCGAAACCAATGAATGCTCCAGAGATGGCTCCAATTACAACTCCCACTGGATTCTGTGTACTCCCTTAAGAAATAAAAACAAAAGTACAATATTTTAAATAGGTTTAAAATACACACACTAGATAAGTCTTTAAAAGCTAACACACGCATTTAATTTTAGCACTGGGAACGCTCTCGTTTGGCTCCAATAAGTGTGGGAAACTGACTACATTGTATTATAAAGTAGTTTTTTGATATTTAATATTTGAATTGTACAATTATTTATAAATGTTCTGCATACATTTGTAAAAAAAACTGTTACATTAAGTCTGGCTGCAAAATACATACACAGTACCTCCCAATAAATAATAAATAAAATACATATATATGTTATATATATATATATGTTATATATATATGTTATATATATATGTTATATATATATATATATATATATATATATATATATATATATATATATATATATATATATATATATATATATATATATATATATATATATATATATATATATATATATATATATATATATATATATATATAAATTGCATTTAATTATACATATCGGTGTTTTACTATGTGTGTGATGTTTTGAGCTAAATCAGTACAACTATAGGTCATACGATTTTAACCTTTTGTTTTACGCATCCGAACCAAATCCAGAGGCTACGCGTTGAAAAATCAAAAGAACTTTAATGTTACAAGTAATATAGTGAAAAGTTTAGAATTGTGATTATTAATAATTGAAAAGAGATTTGAAGTAATCTTCGTAATTTTTTAAAATTTTAAATTAACATAATTATTAAAGAAATTTAAAATTTACCTTTACTCTCCTGGTTAATCACATACGATATTTGACGCTTGATGTTATTTAGGCTGATTCCGCCCGTCTTCATCGTTTGCAAAATGTATTGAAATGTGGTGTCTACGTCAATACCAGGTGTTTGTACATAGTATATTGTAATGTCTGCTATAAGACTCCCTTTTCTACATAATTAGATTATACAAAATTACAAAATAGATTTTAACTATACATAATAATAATAATAAATAATCTATTACCAACAATACATTGATAAGCTTTCTTTGTAAAATTCAGAAAATAATATTGTTTATTGTATTTTATTGGAATAGATAGATACATTTTTTTCCTGAAAATTGTGTGCTATTTTGAGAATAAAATACGAAAATCTTAACTCATTCTTTTCTCTAGAAAAAAACAATTTGTAATGCTTTTATAGGGTTAAATAACGTCTTCGCTGAAACATTGGTATTAAATGCATTTTTAACTGCTATCAGCTCTAGATCTGCATCCTAATAAATTATGTAGATTTACAAGCAACGTCACTTTGCTATCCCTAAGAAAATTAGCAACCTACTCCTCGAAAAATCATGGTCAAAATGAAGATATATTATTATTAGATTGTTCTATTGACAGCATATCTTATTTCAGCAAGCTCACACGAAATTACTTTCCATCTACTCTCTCTTTATGTTTGCCACTCTCTATATTTTTCTCTCGTAAACGGATAATGCCAGTTTACATTTGGTTCTTTAAGAATAAGGTGAAGAACTGAGAAACATTCGGACAACAGTGGAGCAATTATTGCACACATGTTAAACGCAGCCCGACTCAATTATTTTTGTTTTGCTCTGTTCTCAAAACCCCCGTCATTCTTAAAAGTATCACTCAAAATTATTTGCGCACTAAGGGGGAGTTCAATCTTGAATCCGCGTTCAAAACGCGGGAATTTTGGCTTATCATTCGCGCGTCCTCTAATAATCCCCGTCCAATAGCAAAGTTTGCCTATAGGCCTTACGTCTTCTTCTTCTTCTTCGTTCTTAATTTTTAGTGTTGGGAGGGATCGAGTCTTATCTGCCAGAGGGTTTGAACACGAGACTTTTTTACGAATTTATCAACCATGAGCTTTGCCGACTCGACCATGCTTCCATCACATTTAAGAATTCCGTGTCAACTGGTTATGCGCCATTGAGGCCATTGACTCAGATTTCAACCTGCTTTTCTTTTTGGATTTGCTTCCATAGCCTTTGTCCAACCAAGAACAAACTACAAGGCAGCAGTTGTTTGATTTTGGAGTTGTCTCTCCTAGAAGAGTGGCTGTCCCGAGACTTTTCGGTTTAGCAACCATGAGCTTTACCGACCCCTCTACGTCTCTAAAATACGTCTAAAACGCTCTTTTATCCTTTACCAACTAACATCTTACAACATTTGAGGTTGTCAAAAATAAATAATTTTCTAGACCGTCTTTGTCTATTGCTTAAAAGAACTAATTTTCATTTATAATTCTACAAAAATATATCACTTGCAAAAATTAATGAACATGTCTGACACAAGCATCTTTCCACCTATCCATTTCCTACTGTCAGTCTTATCTAACGCCTAACCCGCTATTTGTGAGAATGATCGTGTGTGTATGAATGGATGAACAAATAATAGGACATGAATGCAACTTTTTAATCTGATATCCCAAATAACGACAGTTTTTGTAACCCAGAGCTTCCCAGCGCCTTTCTTAGCACCTGGGGTCAGTTGATTGGTAATCCTGCACAAATGGTTAGGGTTACTGCTTTATTCAATGGCCAAACTGGCGCACCGGGTTCCCCTATGAGCACTACGGCATATATACTTGTTTTAATGAGCGTAAAGCCATAGCAATGCGGAGAGCTAATATAATCGATGACTGAATAACATAAGGGGTGTCTTAGAGCGCCTTGACAATAGTAGCCTATACGTTTGGGCGCCCCGAGTCTTTCCATTATGGTGATGTTAGTAGCGTCACAAGGTTCGGTATCACCCTGTGCGTTTAGTGAGTGTCACCCAACCCCCACCCCTCCAAGAATTTTGCATTTCCGGTGGACTGTTACCCACTTTCCTTAATATTTTATTATTTTATCTGGATAATACATAGTTTTGGCAGTAAATTTTACGAGTTTTCGTCATGGTGTCAGGCCTAAATTGTGACACCTCCGCCACCGCCATGTGACGCTTCTGTGTTAGGTTACTTAAATGTTAATTTGTTAGTTTGCTTTTACATAAACGCGATGTACATCAGAGGTGTTTTACGTTACGGGGTACTGCATAATAACATTGTGTATATACATAGTTAGGACGTATAACAATCATACACATTTTACAGATTGACGAAGGGGCCCAATGATAATTTTTGCATAGGGGCCCGAAAATCCTAGCTACGCCACTGAGCGATCGTCGAAGTGTGTTCTCCCTCATTATTACGGAGAGTGATTAATTAACGTAGACTCAAGCTTTCATGCGGTAGTGTGGGTAAACCCGTTTCCGCATAAATATGATCCATGCGCAGGTATCGTTTACATTAAAATATCTCAGTTTAGAAAACAAGGTCATACATCTAGGAATATAGGAACGGTATCGCATTGATGACCATTTCTTAAAATATTGCGTCAGACTTTCTTCTGAACCCCTTTGAGCAAGACGCGGGGCGGGCACGCTAGTTTAGATATAATCACGAAATAAACCAAAGTGTCAGACTAATATTCCTATTTGTAATGAATATTTTCTACATTTAACTTATCAATTTGTAAAATAACGACATACTTAATACTACAAAGTGCGCTAACCTTAGTTTGCTTGCATCCACTTTAATTGTTGAAATCCCTCTTTTTTGCATTATATTTTCAATCTACAGACAAAATCACAAACACCTTTTTGTGTATACATAAAATACACATGCTTTTTTTAGATACGAAATTTAATTTCTTTAAAAAAAAAGGTAAGATTAAATAAGGGGTCATCCATTAATGACGTCACGCTTTTTTGACGATTTTTACCTCCCCCCTCCCCTCCGTCACACATTGTCACAAAAAGCCAGACCCCCCCTAAAATGACGTCACACCTTAGCCTGCAATCCCCCTCAAAATTGCAGTTGAATTTTCTTTTTAAAACATCGATATTTTTTCCAAAATCTTCTCTGAACTCTGTCAAAATAGAGTATGTGAATCAATTCCTATTACAATTTATTAAAACAATTTTCAAAAACGCGAAATAACGTCTAAAATTCGTTTTCTAACATTGCTTTTTTATAATGCAAAAGTGTGACATTGCACATTTGACACCCCCCTCCCTCTCATCACACACCGTCACAAAATTACGGATCCCCCTCTCCCCCCTACGAGTGTGACGACATTTATGGTCGACCCCCTTAAGTGTGTGTGAACTCCCCTAAATATATCGTATATTCTTATATAATAGTTAAGGGGAATGACAATCACAGCACTATCGGGTTATATAATTGCAATGTTTTAAATTAATTTCTGAATACTTAATTAAATTGAATACTTCTGCCTGAATTTCCGATTTCATGTCTTTGTAGTCAATGCTATTTTCATCTTGAAGGTTCAACTTTGTGACATCCATTTCAATTTTTATAGTAAATACATAAGTAGAAGTTTCTGCAGAAAGAAAATTGCAAATATTTTTAACAATAGAATAGAGATCGTGATAATAAAGCAGTCATTTTTGATAAAAAATTAAAGTATCTTTATACCCATGTTTCAATTGTAACATTTGTTCAACAAAGCAAAAATTAACTAAAGCGGGTTCGAACTTGTCTAAAATTTCTCGTATGTTCTTATATAAAATTAAAGGGGATGACCCTCTCAGCGCAATTGGGTTATAGAATTGCGATGTTTTAATACTTAATTAATCAAATAGAATAAAGTCGAATAGTTCAACAAATTAATGCATTAATTGTATAATATAGCGGAAAATTAGTGATAGTAATTATTTTTAAATAATCTAATTTTTATCTAATTTATTCTCATTTTATGCCAATGTGCATTGCCATCGAGTCTTGACCTATGTGAATAAATCTAAAGAAGTCGGTCCAGTAGAAGTGATTGTTTTGAAAAATTCGAAATAGCTTGAAGTACCATTTAGGATCATGGAAAATCACTCAAAATAAAAAATAAAAATCAAGTAATAGTTTCTTACACCTGTGTATAAAATTTCGTCTACAAAAATATTAGCTGCTGTACTTAGATTTATGTTATTATTTTAGAGATTTCTGAGAAACGAAAGGGGTAGCTGGCTATATCTTCGATCTCAAAAAAAATCATAGTTTGGTTAGTGTTTATATAAAATTCTCATAAATTGTTTTGTTGTAATTTCTCCTTTTTGTTTCTACTTACAAAATTAGAGATTTTTCCCAACTATCTTCTATAATAATATCTTTATATATTTGCATCAGTGTTTCTTCCAGACTTTTTTCTCCGGGGGGCACTTGAAATTTTCGGGGGGGGGGGGCGGTAGACTTTCTTCGGGGGTGGGGGGGGGGGGGTGGGGGGCGGACACTGTTAAAAGTATATATTTTCTATATAAATTATATAAATTTCATTTCGTTCGGGGGGGGGGGGGCTGGAAGAAACTCTGTTTCCCATCCCCATTCCTTACTATTATATATACAATAAAGTTTTGGGGAAGTCACTCCCGCTTCATTTAAATGTTACCACATAATTAAAAACCAACCTTGGCAAACGCCTTGTTTATTTCTCGTGTATCCTTTCTTACAAGAACATACGAAACTTTCTACCGTGTTGGTGCAGTCTTCTGTCATGATGTCACACGGGTTATATAAACATTCATTTTTATCTACACGGAAAAGTAATCAGACATTTACTGTTTTTTCTGAAAATTCAAAGTTTGTATTCACCAACAACTAAATGTCTAGATGATTGCATACTTCATAAATGCGATATCGACGTCCTACATTATTTTGTTTGATCATTTATTGCACTAAAAGTCATACAATACTCAAATGTATAAATATGTGTACAATGCTAAAGTTAACTGTTTCAATTATATTTAGACAAAGCTGCGAAACAACTTATAGAAAAATAGAAACTAGCACATATCAAATTTCATTGCATCAAGGTTGTGCAATATTTATCAATGTAAATTATGCTATATCAAAAGACGACTTATGGACTTCGTTATAATTGTCATTTTTTACATTGATTTATCATTCAAATCTTTTTGAGTGAAAATAATTTAAATGAAAATGTTCCAAAACATGTGATACCTGTGCACAATTAATAATGATGTTTATAAGATTTTTGTTGGTTGCCATTTTAATTTATCCAAAAAGCTTTAAATAACGTTCGATAGCTACCCTGAGTATTTTTATTGTTTTCTTTGCATATCCCATTGATGCGAGTTGTCCCTTCTTTACATTCACATTTTGCGTAGCCTGACAAGCTTACACATTTTTCATTAAGGCTGCAGGTCTGAAAGCTACACACATCAGCACGATATTGGCACTGCAGGCCTAGTTTAAAAACAATGGTATTAACGTACAAACTGAGTATATATATATATATATATATATATATATATATATATATATATATATATATATATATATATATATATATATATATATATATATATATATATATATATATATATATAATTTAATATATATATATATATATATATATATATATATATATATATATATATATATATATATATATATATGAGTGCATCTTTGCGTGTCCAAGTTTGTTTACGTGTGTGACTAATCTATTTGGAATTTAACTGAGCAGAGCACTATTTAAAAAACATGAATGTTCTGCTTCAGGCAAAAGGAATTTTTTTAAAAATTAAGTTGAAATGGATTAATAGAAAACTCACCCACGTAGCCAGGCTTGCAGATACAACCCGTCACCGAATCACAATGATCCGCCCCTGTCCCACAGTTACATGACTGGTTGCACTCTATACCCCATTTTCCTTCCCTGCAAGCTGTAGAGCATTTGCATAGCTAAACCATACATGTTTTTCTAGATTACAATTACACATTTATATATTTCAAAACTTGTCAATCGTAGAGCTAGTACAGTTTGTAACTTTCTTACAGTGTAACTTGTATTACAAAGTTGCCGAAAAAATTGTTTTCGTTGTTACGGCTATGCATTTCTACATTTCAACTTATATAATCTGCAGCTCATGAATATTTTTCTCTTGATTACAGTTTGAAATGTTAAATGTTCAAAGTTGTATAATTGGTAACACAACCATTTAGTAATTTTTCATTGATGTCTATAATACTCACCAACACAAGTGCGTTTGTCATTGTTTAGCATTGAACCAGAGTTGCATGAACACGTATAGCTGCCATCAATGTTGACACAACTTCTCCTAATCTCACATCTGTTGTCGCTGTAGGTCATGCACTCATTTATGTCTGAAAATTTATTTTCATATACCATATCAATACTAAAAAACATATTTTTATTTGTGAACCATTAAATTCAGTTTCATATTTTTTCTTTTCATTTTTTGGTACAATTTTATTCAATTTAACATTTCGATCTAATACTATCTGTTGCTTACTCATTCCAGATAAAGAAATAATAAAGTTAAAAGTTAATTTTCATCACATGTGTATGCATGTTAATTGAAATATTTCACCACATTAAAGAACTCCAAATAAACTTGGAAGATCTAATTTATAAAGTTTAATTCTGTATGTATGTGTGTATGAGACAGCGTACGAAAACTTGATTACGAAGAAATAGAGGGAAAAAATAGGCTTGATCGCCATAGTGTGATATATCTAAAGTGCTTATCATCTAAATTAATTATTTAAAAATTAATATTGAAGGTGTTGCAAAACAAACTTCATTTTCCAAATTTATAGTGTTAATTGACGGCATGTGCATTTAAAGAAAATGTATCATAATTTCAACTTTATTCTTTAGCACTCATTACGTCACTATGATACATTAGGAAAACACAATAACTTCCCTTTAAAAAAAACATTACATCAAGGGAAAAAAATGTATTACTTTGTTTTGGTGTTGGGAAAAAAATAAGTACATAATTACCATGGATTAATCAAGTGAAATGTGGTAACTAAAACACAGACATTTTAAATACTGTTTTTTTATTTATTTTATACACTGAACGTACTGTATAGGCTACTAAATATTATTTGTAATAAATAACAGTTTAGAAGAAGCTCATAAACGTTTACTTCTATCTTTCCGCTTGGGGTATTATAGTCCTTCACTAAATTGAATTAGGCGCGTCCGCCGGCGCTCAGGCAGGGTTCGATTTGTCGCGATTGGCTATCATGTGAGCGCTATTGTGCATAATTTCGTTTTAAACAGCGCTGTTTTTGTTTGCGTTTGTGTTTTCTTTGGGCTTGGGTTTGCGTTTGCATTTGGGTTTTGTTTTCGTTTTTTGTTTTGTTTGCGTTTATGTTTGTGTTTTCTTTGTGTTAGTGTTGCGTTTGTGGTTGGGTTTGTGTTTGTGTGTTTACGTTTGTGTTTGTATTTGTGTTTGCGTTATGTTTGCGTTTTTTGTCTGCTTTGGTTGGTTAGGGTTAGGGTTAATTTGAAAAGTAATACATTTCATAAATCCTGATTACTAAACACACAAGTCTTGGTCCTTTACAGATTAGTTTTTTCACAGAAGCCAGTGCAGGGCCTGGCCGGGACGGCTAGTATATTATAAGAGAAGGCCTTCTATCAAATTATGTACTTTATAACACATATTTTTTTATATATTCAATGTAGTAATAATTTTAAAATTTCAATAATTTCTACACGACCAACCTTGACACATGTAAGGTCCTATTAAGTTAAAACCTTTAGGGCAGAAACAAAATTCATCACCGTCTGCATCAACACCACAACCGTAATCACAATAGGACTTGAGGCGTGTACATGAGTCTGCAGCTAAATGATAATCAACACATTGTATAGTAATGTCAAAGGCTAATGTTAAAAAAAAACTCAAGCATTCTTAAGCATTAATATTCAGTCATGTAAATAGGTTTCTGATGTCGTAAGTTATAAATACTTAAATCAAACTATCTATGTTTATCTATATCTCCCGTTTAAACTCAGTTCCTCTCACTCTCTCTCCATTCTGTATATATATATATATATATATATATATATATATATATATATATATATGTGTGTGTAATTATAAACATAGATAAATACTTAAGAATTTAGGTGCAGATATATTTGTATATAAATATATTATACATGTCATTATGCACACATTAGAATATTGTTACTGGTTAGAAATTTAAAAAAAAAATACAGTTCTTTAACTAAAGGTACACATATATATCGAGAAACAGCTATCAACCTTTAATACATTGCCATTTGTTATCAGAAAGATAGAATCCTTGCTGACAATAACAATTGTAGGATCCGACTTTGTTTTCACATATTTGATTACACTGATCTATCTTTAGTTCGCATTCATCAATATCTAGATTGGAATAGAAATTCCCATATATATATATATATATATATATATATATATATATATATATATATATATATATATATATATATAAATAAATAAATACATATATATATATATATATATATATATATATATATATATATATATATATATATATATATATATATATATATATATATATTTATTTATTTATTTATATATATATATATATATATATATTTATTTATTTATTTATATATATATATATATATATATATATATATATATATATATATATATATATATATATATATATATATGTATATATATATATATATATATATATATATATATATATATATATATATATTTATATTTATATTTATATTTATATATATATATATATATATATATATATATATATATATATATATATATATATATATATATATATATATATATATATATATATATAGGCACATACATATATAAATATACAAATATATTTTTATAAATGTATATGTTTTCTCTTTTTGAATCATATATGCTATTTGTTTTAGTATAGGATATAAAAAATAAATTAATATAGTAGAAAAAGTCGTTTTCACACTATACTAAGAATATAATAATTATTTAAATCAGCGAAAATGAACCTTCGCAAATAGAGTTTGTATTCTTTATGTATCCTTTTTGGCAGTCACACACATAGCCGCCTACAGTGTTCACACAAACTTCGACGGTTTTCTTACAGTTTGTGCTTGAAAGTGAATTACACTCGTCAACGTCTATGAATATGAAAAACAGAAAGTTTTTAGTGGATTTGAATTAGACGTAAATATATAGACATTTTTAAATTTAAATTTAATTATCTCTAAACAAGACATGTATGCACAATTTACAACACCAAACGTAAAATAACGTTGTACAGGCATGATACTATACATTAACAAAATAAAAACCCACAGTGCAACAATAAAATATGTAATTAGCCAACGCAATTGAATCGCATTACCAGACAACTCAGCTCAATATTATTTACAGACAATTAATAAAACACCTTCACAAACACCCTTGCTATTTCTAATGTATCCTCCTTTGCATACACAACTGTAATTTCCTACTGTGTTGATACAGTTCTCAACTTTCGTATCACATGAAGCAGAATTATCTAAACACTCGTCAATATCTGAAAAAAAAACCAAATTACCTATTTAAATAATGGGGGTAAATAATGATGGGTACGTAACCCATGTTAGGGAAAGTAAAGGCGGCTGGGCATAGTTCTGACCACACTATCTCTTCATATGCCGATGTCAGAGAAACAAGTGAACTCTACTTCACTTGCCCTATAGACCGTCAGGTTTGAAAGGGAAACTTAACTTAACCTTAAATAATGGGGATCACATACCAGACTTATAACTCAAATTTACAATTTTTTCAATGTATGTATTCAACAGCATTTCGAAAAATATGTAATTTTTCCCTTACCAGTTACACCCCCTACCCGTCAGTAATCTTTCTCTCTCATTATCTTAACAGTACATTATATTTGCTAGTAAAAAAGTTTATTTTTGTGTAGTGTCCTTGTTTAGTTTTTATTGAGTTTAGAAAAAGGACTCTGGTAAAATGTTAGTTTGGCTATATTATAGACATCAATAAGCAGGGAAGAGTGTTGAGAATTAAGAAAACGCATTATTTCGAAAATTTTAGACCGAAATTTCAATCTATCCACATAAAACATGCAATATAGACGAGACTTTATTAATAACTTCTTTCCTGCGCCAGCAATTAGTTTGAGCTGTACAGAGAAGTGCCTAAAGGCGTTTTTTTTTTTTGTATCTTCAAAATCCTTTCACAGCTTCAAAATTGTTTTTATCCTGTCTATCCTGTTATTAGGGAAAGTACATTATTCATTTTGTTATGCAACTGAATTATTTTTGTACGTTTTGTGCTAATTACAGAGAAGGCTTATAAAAAAATATATGCCACATACTAGCTTTGATTGTAAGTTGAGCAAAATACCTCAATTCTCAGACGTTCGGTATCTTCTATTAGTTTGTCATTTTTATGGAACAGATTTATCTCTACGGCCAAGTACTTATCCTACATTTTATTTATTGAAAATGATATCTGTTTATTACAAGCTTTTATTTAACTTGCTTCCTCTGTCGTCAGTCGTCAGTCTAGACCGAAACGCAGGAGTGAAAATTCGGAAACTTCTACTTGACCGATACGATTCACATTTGGCACGTGCGTCAAGACATGAAGACAATGCAATCTGAAACTAAATTTGACTTAATTGGATGACTAATTAATTTTTTATGAATTAATTAAAATTTGGACCGAATTAGTAGGCATGTCTATCCAACCACACCACACGCGTCATCACGCTCCATAGCTGCGCCGTAAGGTTGAATAGCTGCGCCATCACGTTCAATAGACGCGCAATGGTTTTTAGTTATGTAACACTATTGTAAATAAAACATGTAAAGTACTTACAAAAAAATTCATAAAAAACGTTTTAATAACAAGCTTTTATGTACTAATGCACTAAAAAGTAGAAAACAAATTATAGACTACTATTTAAATAACGATAAAGAAAAGCGTGGGTCTCTTCTCAAATATTAGTAAAGGTATAAAATAAGTACTAAAGTACTAAAGTGACCCACGCTTTTCTTTATAGTTATTTAAATAGTAGTCTATAATTTATTTTGCTACTTTTTAGTGCATTAGTACATATAAGCTTGTTATTAAAACGTTTTTTTATGGATTTTTTTTATTTTTTCTAAACTAAACGAGTGTCCCACTTCTCATTTTGCCTGTCCCACATCTCACCAACATAATGACTTTTAAATTCGGTACCATAAACGTCTTTATTTACTAACCAGAGTCTTCACGACGAAGTCACCTTAAATATTTGTATATATAACTAGGAATTGTTGGGATCATTCTAGAAAGAAAATAGAGAAAAAAAAATTTTGGAGGGTAAAATCTGCGACCTGTTTTCATCGTTCTCCCCTATATGACTGTTTGTGTCTTAAATTAATTTTCATCCGATCTGTTTTATCTTTTATAGAATATATTATTGAGTTGTAGATCATCATACCCACAGCATTATTTCCGATAGTAAATTTTCGAACGATTTCCGGTTACCGAAAGTAGTATTTTATTTCCGTTTTTTGTTTTCAAAAACTTTTTGAATTTTATATTTTGCAAGAAATTAGCCTCTATTTGTTTTTTCGAGTGATTATGTCACAAAATCTGTACCATTTATATATCCAATTCCACTTAAAGATATACCCCATACGTTTCTTCTTTTTGCAATTATATGGGAACGTTTAGGAGAGCTAAGTCCAGCTTTACCAGCAAATAATTAGAGGAAATAAATTAGCAACGGGATAAAAAAATATTCTAAAATTAACATGATACAAACCTTCGCAGCGACCAAATTTCCTTGCATACCCTTTTTTGCAGGCGCAAGTGTAACTTCCTATTTTGTTTACACACATTTCTGTACTTTTGTCACAAAGTGTAGCAGATAATGCACATTCATCTATGTCTAACAAAAATACATATACATCTAGTTTAGATTTTAAATTATAGCATGAATAGGCCTACATAAAAAGCCTTTATCTTGAATAATATATTACATCAATCTAAACTTATCAATAATCTTGTATAACGTGTTTTAAAATTAGACGAACTGGCTGAAGGTAACATTCAAACATTTAAATATAAACTGACCTGTGCATATGCCTTGTGAGTTCTTAATGTATCCTGTGTTACACGAGCAGCGATAGCTACCAATAGTGTTTGTACAATATTCCAGGTTTTTGTCACATGGGGATAATGCAGAACATTCATCGATATCTGTAAGCAGTAATTAGGACCTAACTAATCTTTTAAAAATCTCACAATAAATTTTTTTTAAATTTAGGGAAAAAAGCTTTTATTGTATTTACGAATCTTTAAAAAATAACACAAATGAAAAAATGCACTAAAAAGTAAAAAAAAATATTTAATTTGGTGTAGCCTTTCTACAGCTACCTGCACAAAAAAGAATGAAATAATAATGAAATTTGAGCATAAGTCTTATATTATATTTAATAAACCGAACCTATCAATAAACTCCATATGAACGGAATACATTTTCTATAAGTGGGCGACCAGGTTTTTAATTTAAGTCATGCCAGCATACAGTTTTAGTAATGTTACACCAAACTAAACTAACCTAACATTAACTACCGTTACCTAACCTGTAAGAATATATTACGATGTGAATTTGCTTCTGTGCATATTATTTTACTTGGATATATATTAGATTTCCTACCACTAACAAAATGATGGTGCTAAGACTATACTCCTTTCCTTTTTCGTTTGAAAAAAATATACTTTAATCATAAAATAATACGTAAGAATTTAAATAGTACTACAATACAAACATAACTTTTTCTTCAGATTATTTGAAGTGGTATTCTACTTAACGTCAGTCTCTTACCGTTACATGTCGACCACTGTCTATAAAATCCCTTAATACATTCACATGTAGCAGATCCAGGTAAATTTTGGCAAAACTCATTGAAACCACATTTTTTTAAACTAGTCTTGCACTCATCAATGTCAGTTTCACAGAATTGTCCTAGATAGAAATGTAAAGACGCAATTCGTTTAAACCAGAAATGTATTTAATCGTTTGTGCTGTGTGGAGGCAGTCAACAATTTTAAGTTTTTTTTTTTCTTTTAAAGTGGTATTTGGTAGTGTGGTACTTAGCATGTTTATTATTTGTCGTGTTGGTATTACATATTTTAAAATTTAGTCAATTCGATAAAATTTACTTTTTTGTCGCTTAATTATAACTGAATATGTTTACTCATATAAATATAAAACATATAATTAAAAAAACGCAACAAACATTGTAGAGTTTTAAAATTCAAAATGTTTGAGGTCTTTCTTCTTCTTTGTTTTTAATTTTAGTGGTGGAAGTAATCCCCTCAAATACGATTAAATATACGTTTCAACCTGTTAAGCGCCAATGAGGCCATTGACTTCAATTTCAGCCTGCTTTTCTTTTTGGATTTGCTTCGATAGCATTTGTCCAACCAAGAACAAACTGCAGGACAGCAGTTGTTTGATTGTGGAGTTGTCTCTCCTAGAAGAGTGACTGGCCCCAGTTAACGAGCCTTATCTTCCCGAGGGTTCGAACTCGAGACTTTTCGGTTTAGCAACCATGAGTTTTACCGATGCGACCACGCCGACCTGTTTAAGGTAATTTAAAGACATTATCTCGCCTGTGTATCCTGGCTTGCATACACATCCTATCTTAATATCACAGTAGGTTGACCCTGTTGTACAACTACAAGAATGACTGCACTGTGGGCCCCAGGTTTCTCCGCTGCAAGCTAAAAAACAGTGTATTTAAGAATGTATTAGAAATGAAACCCTCTGCCAATATTGGAGTTTTCTGCATCTCAGGCTGTTTTCCGAAGTAGTGAAAACTGAACACTGACCACAGGTGCTTTGACCATAGTTTGTTCGACTGGACTAAACTGGGCGTTGTCCATAAATTAGCTTTGATAATGGCTGGCATTTGCCTGTATATGAGTTATTGTACGTTTTTTATATCATAGAAAAGGAGGGAAGTGTGTGAAAATTAAATCTTAAGCTGCGGATTAATGTAATTATCAGGTTTCACAACATGTTTAAATACAAGTAATGTAGACCAAGCTAATTAAATCCAGATAGAGTAACGACATACGTATCACTAATTGCCATTTCATGATTTTGCTGAAACAATAGTGAACAACATCCATATACTTCAACCACAAGTACATTTATGTGGACGTAGAATACGACAAGCCTGGCTTGTTTCCAAATTGAAAATTGTAATCGAATACGTGTATTTCACAGTCTACTCACGTCTAAAATGCAATCACCTAAAAATGTGGCGTTTACTTTTCGGACAACACATGAACTATAAAGACTAGCATGGTCACAACACCTATAGTCAAAGAACATGTGATCTCATCACCTATGGCCAAAGAACATGCGGTTTTTAGTACCTATGGTCAAACACTTGTGGTCAAATAACCTGTGACAAAAGCACATAAAACGAATATATTATCTGCGCCAATTCGGCATAGGCGTCCAGTACGGTACTGTCTTCTTGAAGCTTGTCTATGGCAAATAGTAACACAAAATGCGTTGTATTTTAAGGTATTTTAGGTGTTTGTGCTGAAAACGCTTTTAGTGTCTGTCCAAGTTATTAACTGTCTATTAAAAGAAAGACATTTTGATTTTTGAAGTAAATATATATATATATATATATATATATATATATATATATATATATATATATATATATATATATATATATATATATATATGTTACGGTCAAAGCCCGAAGTGCGGCCAAAGCGCGGATTGGCCGGCTCTCTTGGCCAAAGCCCGAAGAACTTAGCACTAAGATCGTATTTTGTACATTGGCCGGCCAATGCGCGCACTGGCCGGGACGTACTGTCCAAAGTCCGAAGCGCTTAAACTTGACAGCGTATTTTGTACATTGGCCCGCCAATGCGCGCACTGGCCGGGATGTCCTGGCCAATGTTCTATCTAGACTAAGTTGTGATCGCATTTCAAGTTGTGATCGCATTTCTATTATTCTGGGTGCGTTTTCATTGAGAGTAACGTATTGTTTAGCTCTTGTTTGTATAGCATTCTATATGCAAGGCGACATGGATCAAAAGGGCCTTTAGACCATGAGACAGATGGCTGTCAAAAGAAAAAAATGTAAATCCATGTTAGTTTCCATATATGGGCTCTCGATAAAATAGTTACTGAGGAAGAACTTGAGAACATTGAACAAGAAATGGAGGTTGCCATAAATACAACGACATCCTCAGCTAACACATCTGCTGCAGTGGCGGAACGTCCAGACCAGTTGCGTGACAATAATGTGGCCAACAGATTCTATATAGTTTGGATCTATATAGTTTTGGTTCCTGTGGCAACGATGTCCATGCTATTTGTGGAATACCCAATGAAGCAGACGAAGGGTACGGAGGGAACATTACCTGCAGATTGTGTCACAACAAGCAAGACATCATGGAACACAAATCAGCAGCTCATACTGGCTTGCAAACTCAAGGTGCTAAGATGCTTAAAACATCAAATACAAAATTTAAAGATGGTGAAGTGGGTGACAATGTACGATCCGTTTTCCAGATGTTGACAGAGGTCACGGTGATCCCCGAAGCGTGATTGCAGTTGTCATGAGCGTCGAGGGCGGTTTCTACAAATTAGGAACGGAACATGGTGTTCTAAAACAACTGTATGCTAGAAGTGAGTTTTCAATTCTTCACAAAAAACTGCTCTTATTGTCGTCAGTTGGCACTATGGAAAAATCACTACGAACCATCGCATCTTCACAATCATTAACTGGGGGCCAAGGCTACGCTCGCTGCAATTGCACAACTAAGTGCACAACAAATCGCTGCAAGTGTAAAAATAACAAGCTGCTATGTAATTCTAAATGCCATAAAAGTTCAACTTGTTGTAACAAATGGCGATATTGATAGATTGAGACTATAGTACAATACAAAAATTGAATGTTTCTGTCATTTACTTTAATTAATAATCGTCCCTAGCCAGATGATCTTCTAATTAAGACTTTGGACGGTCCACCAGTCCGCGGACTGGCCGGCCAAAGGCCGAAATCAAGAGCTATTTCAGACTTTGGCCGGTCCACCATGGCCAGTCTGCGGATTGGCCGGCCAAAGGCCGAAATCAAGCAAAGTTTCGGACTGACCGACCTATGGGAGGCGATATTGGCCAATGCGCGGATTGGCCGGCCAATCCGCGCATTGGCCGACTTCGGGCTTTGACCGTAACATATATATATATATATATATATATATATATATATATATATATATATATATATATATATATATATATATATATATATATATATATATATATATATATATATATTCTAGTGTAAGCTAAGTATTGTTAGCGGCAACTGTCTTAAAACTACAAAAATAAATAAACATCGTAAAATCACTCACCAATACACGTGCGTTCATTGTTATCTAGCATTGATCCTTCAGGGCATGAGCATGTGTAGCTGCCTTCTGTGTTCTGACAACTGCTTTTTGTGCCACATTCATTGTCGCTGTCTGACAAGCACTCATTGATATCTGGATATTACAAAAAAATAGGAAATACAAAATTAAATAGTACTAACTGTAAATAAAATCAAAG